TTAATTAATTCATGAGTGATTTATCGGGTGAACTGATTGTTAAATTAATTCTAGATAAATTAGTTGAATTATTGTTTTAAGAGTTGTTTAATATGGGAAGACCATTATATGACTGTTTTGAACAGGCAATTTCTCTATTGGGTTGCTTGAATCAAAACTGAGGCTCTGTGCAAGTTTTCCGTGTTGAAGAAGTAGGAAAACAACTTTTACCAGTGCAGACAGGTCGACTGGTCAGGTCGACCGGTTCATGAAGAACAGGTCAACTTGTGAGTTATAACGTCTCTATTACCGGTCGACCGGTTGTAACGCGTAGCGCATGCTGACATGGCGAAACTGACTCTGTAAGCGAGATAAACTTTGGGAAACCTAATCATTACGGAAGTATGACTTCCTAAACACTATAAATAGCCTATTAAGTCACATTATTCATTAGATCACTTGAGAGACTTTTTAGAGGCTATTGACAAAAGATTCCTTAGAGGAAATATTGTTTAATTCTCAAGAACGATTTTTCCTTTGGCTCTCTTGTGGTTGGAAGGAGTTCAAGAATACCAAAGGGAGATTGAACGACGTGTGCCCACCCGCACTCCGATCGTGGAAACGAGAATAGCAAACAAGACCAGTTGGTTGAGGCTCTTCCGGTCGCTGTTTGGAATGCTTTAATCAGTCAGACGTGCAGTTTCCTAAATCTGAAAAGGTATGATTTAGATCTTTAGTATTTATGTTATATAGCATCATGAACATGTTCTTGGTTAGTTTTGACATTGATTAATTTTTTTAAAAATTCCACTGCGCACTCGATGCCGTTTTTTCCAACACTGAGAGGAAAAACTAATCAATTCTCAAGATCTATTTTTTCTTTGGCTCTCTTGTGGTTGTAAGGAGTTTAAAAATACAAAGGGGATATTGAGCGAAGTGTTCCCACTCGTACTCCTATCATGGAAATGAGAATAGCAAAGAAGACCAGTTAGTTGAGACTCTTCCAGTTGCTGTTTGAAAACGTTTTTATCTGTCAGATGTGTTGTTTTCATAATCTCTAAAGTTATGATTAGATCTTTGGTTTTTATGTTATATACCATCATAAACATAATCTTGGTCGGCTTGGCATTGATTTAAAAATTTTAAAATTCCGTTGTGCACTCGATACCGTTTTTTTAACATTTACAAATATGAATTTTATTTTTGAAAAAAATCTTATGTTTTCAAACTTTAATAAAATAAACAAGAGATATATGAAATTCTAAAATTTAAATCTTAAATTTAATTTCATATATTCCATTATTTTGCAAATATAAATTGCAACTAAAATCAACTTAATGTAATTAAATCAATTTTGAATGTATAACCTATTTAATTTATGAAACTCTTTTATCATATAAATAATAATAATAATATGTGTGTGCATGTATGACATGTTATAAACGTATGAGTAGGCACACCTAAACTCTTTTCCTTCTTATACTTGTAGGTACATGGCTCATCATCATTTTAATCAAATCTATAAGACTTAATAGCATCATCAAACCTCATGTTCCATGATCTAGAAGCCTGTTTCGGTCCATAATGGAACTTTTCAGTTTGCATACATTATGCTCTTAACCTTCAGCTATGAAACCTATTGGTTGCTGCACGGAAATGGTTTCCTCAAGATAGTCGTTTAGAAGCACTGTCTTGTCATCCATTTTCCATATCTCATACTCCAGACATGCTGTAATAGATAAACGTATATGGATGGACTTAAGCATAACTACTGGCGAGATAGTTTCTTCATGGTCAACTCTTTTTTTCTTAGTATAACCTTTAACCACAAGCATAGCTTTATAAGTCTCTATTTTTCTATCTACTCCTCTTTTCCTCTAGAAGATCCAAATGCATCCGATGGGTCTTACCCCTTCTAGTATATCAACAAACATAAACTCCATCTCGAGTTTCATGGCTTCTTGTCATTTTTCCTTGTTAGAATCCTCCATCGCCAGTCTAAATGTTAATGGATTTTCTTTACCATCATCAACAGTGACGACATGTGCTTGCTCTGTGTTGCGATCGGGTAATCTTATTTCCCACTCACTACAGCGTGGCTGCACCAGAGTTTGATCAGGAACTGTCATCTTTTCTATATGTCGTTCGACAATTCTTGCCGGTTGTGGTTCGAACTGATCAAGAAATAATCCTTCTAATACAACTTTGCTTCTAAAATTGAAATCTGTCATATAGTCATGCTCTAGAAAACTTACGTTTATCGACACAAACACCTTTTAATCCTGAGGACTATAACAATCATCCCCTTGTCTCTTATAGGTAGCTCACAAAAATACACACTTCTAAGCGCGGCTCCAACTTCTCAGTCTTACGCTTTAGCACGTGTGCTGGACACCCCTATGCGTATATGTCTCAAACTAGGTTTTTGATCACACAATAATTCTAGAAATGTCTTAGGTACAGACTTAGATGAAACCAAGTTTAGAATATATAAGCACTCATAAAGGAATATCCCCATAATGAATTAGAAAGCGGCGAATAACTCAACATTGGTCTTACATGTCGAGAAGGGTTATATTTCTCCTTTCGGCAACGTTGTTTTACTGTGGTGTTCCGGTTGTTGTCAATTATGATATGATTCCTTTTTCAGTCAAGAAGTTGAATTTTGTGTCTAGATATTCACCACCACGATCTTATCGCAACATCTTGACTGGTTTACCTAATTTTTTTTCAACTTTAGCTTGGAATTCCCTAGACTTTTCAAAAGTTTTAGATTTCCTTTGCATCAAGTAAACATAACCAAATCTCAAACAATTGTTGATGAAGGTGAAGAAGTGTTCGTAACCTCCTTTGACTTGAACACTTAATGGTCCATATACATCAAAGTGTATCAGCTCAATGGGTTATTTGGTTCTCTCACTTTTGGCTGAGAAAGATCTATTAGTCTTACCTTCCAAATAAGATTCACAGATATGAAGTTCACTAACCTTTAGTTTACTCAAAGGACCATCCTTTACCAGTCTTTCAATCTCTGTAAAAACTGAGACTTTGTTAGGAACAACAAACATAGTTGGCCACTCCAAAATCAACTATCCAGGATGATTTCTCTACTAAGCATGTTTCAAGAATCTGTATATCATATTTACTTTAATTTTTTTCCTCTTTCCTACATTGCGTGCTTTTGCCTTAGGGGTCGGAGGACATTCCTTTAATGGGACAAACTTATATTCATCATTGGTCAAGGTTTCGTTTGCGAGTAGGTTTATTATTTGATTAGTCATATTGCTGGAAATAAATAGAATTTTATTTTCATAAATATGTGCATGAATAACATTTAACAGAATAGTTTCGACATAATTAAACATGAAGCATGATGCACATGAAAAATACATAAAATCATAGTTTAATTCTTAATACCAACATAATTTAATTTACCACGAATATGGTGACGTTGTAGGGTAGGTCAAACTATTCGCAAATTGAATTGAGACACTCTCAATTAATAAGATTATCTAAACATCTCATATTTTCAACGCTTATTAATTAGATTATTTTGGTCAAAATATAATTAACCCTGTAATTATATTTTCATGAGTGTAAACCACTATACTTAACTCTGGAATGCCATCGTAGGGTAGGTCAAACTGGAAATACATCATTGACCTGTATTGCTAAGAGTCAACCTTGATATAGATCTAGAATTAACATACTCCATAAGGAGGACGAAATTAATGCCGACGCAAAGCGCCTTTTCTGATCTCACGATGTTAAACTAACAGTGGAGACAGGTGGGTCATATTGTCATACAACCTTCTCCCACTCAATATTTTGCAATTATGTATTTTATTTTTGAAAATAATCATATGGTTTCACACTCCAATAAAATAAACAATATATTTTATTAGATATATGAACTTCTAAAATTTAACTCTTAAATTCAATTTCATATATTACAATATTTTGCAAATCCGAATTGCAACTAAAATCAATTTAATCTAATGAAACCAATTTTGAGCGCATAATTTATTTAATTTATAAAACTTGTGTATCAAATAAATAATAATAATAATATGTGCGTGTATGCATAACATGTTATAAACATATGAGTAGGCACATATAAACTAATATGACTTATATATGTATTGACATATATTATATAATAATCAACATAAAAATATAAAATACGCAATCGGCTATTGAGATGAAATTTGACCAGATCCCATAAAAAAATAAATTTATAACCCAATCAAATGAATTAATCAATTACAATACAATCATATAATTAAATAAATAATTACAATACTTGTTTTTATCTATTACGTCAATGGGTTTTCATGTGAGCATGCTGGGCGTGTCTTGTACGACTGTTGCTAGTTAAATAATAGATAAAATTTTAAGTTTAACCATCGTTTTTTCTAATTTTATTATTTATGTTATTACAAAAAATTTTGATGCCATTAAGAAAATAATTCACAAGTTATGAAAAGATAATATATAAATTAAGAAAGATACCCTAGATGTTATATTAATATAACTTACAAATTATAATGATATGAGATGAATTTAAAATAATAACAGAAATAAAATAATATTATTTTAATAATGACATTTTTAATTTTTTCCCTTATAAATCCACTCACCGTTTAGTTTGCAGATAGATAATGTAAACTAAAATACAAAAGCATCATAAATGGACATTGAACAAACCGAAAACTAATATCCAGATTGCGACCCAAAAAATAAGGTGTGCGCATGGGACTGTACAAGCGTACCAACTAGCTCCCCATCACGTGGGAATAGTGGGCCCCACAGATACGTACTGAAGGATTAAAAAAAATGTGGCGATCGAAAATGAAATAGAAATACAAAACGTACAAAACTACACTGTGGGGCCCACAGCCCCCCCTTACGTTCTTCCTGGTTATTACGCAATTTTCTTGGGAGAAAAACATGAAAAACTCCTCTATTAGATGAAAACTCAGACTGTCTTAAAAAAAACAAAAAAAAAACAAAAAAAAGATAAAGATGATAATGAAAATTGAAAACCTTAAAAAAAAGTACCGAAAAGTTAAAAACATAAACAAGGACGTTCAGGTTTGAGCCTTTAGTCTCCCAAGGAATAAACTATCATAACAATCTCTCAGCAATTGCTTGAATGATAATAACCATTCTTTAGAAAGTCCAAAACAGCACAAGCAAGGAAAAAAAAAACATAAACATAAATAAACGTGTTAAATCGAACCATACCATCTACATAGGGATTCCGAATTCTCTCTTTACTCTGGTTCGAGGAGTCCAACATCTCAGGATTCTTTTTCGTTGTTGTTTCTCTTTCTTACCAGGTAACAACGGTTTTCCCTAAGCCTTTTATTTCTTTTTTTTTTTCCTTCCCTTCTTTTTCCGGTGAAGAAGGACCGATTACTTTTTTGACTTAGATTTGAAGAGAAACCCAGAATTTCTGGATTTCAATTCTGGGGTTTTCAGTCTCGTGGGCATTTTGCTCTTCCATTAAGGTGAGCGTTTTTGACATAAATCTTGAACTTTATTTATTTTTTTAATTTAATTTTGTTTTTTTAGATAAAGATATGAAATGGGTTGCATGCAGATACAAGTTATCTTGATGCTGTAGTTTTTGTCTTTGTTTGTATCATTTTTGTAAATTTTATGCGCTTTTTGAATTAATGAAGGTGATAGTAATCCATGATTGTTACATGTTCTTCACGATTGATATTATTATGATTGCTTCTTGAATTAATGAAGGTGAAAATATTAGTTTTTAATCTGCCAAATTGTATCAGTTTCAGGGTTTGGTATTTTGTGTGTGGGAGCTTTATTAGACCACTTTGTGTATCTCTACTTTGATTTGTACTCTGCAAAAGGGATTAAGCTTTGTTGAAACTCGTAGAGATATTGGGGATCTGGATATTGAAAATGAGAGCAATAGCTATGCCGATCAGACATTTTGGGTCGGTTTTTCGACATCAAAGGAATGGTTATTCGAGTGGTTTAGTGAGGCATAGAAGGAAGTTGATAGACATCAACTCTGGATTTGTTTATAAGCTCACAGACAATGTTGAAACCCACCGATTTCGAGACCCCGGTTTTATGATCTCAAGAGCTTTCTCTGTTGAGGCAGTTAAAGTTTCAAACGGAGGTTTTCTTCAAAATCATATCTTATTTTAGTTGGTTTTTATTTATTAAAGTTTTTCTTGTCTGTGTTTTCTGCAAAAAGTTGGATGTAACTTGAACTTGATTTTGAAATTTGCTTTTTAATGACAGATACGAACCGAGCAGGGCCTCTTATAGAGTATGAACGAAGGATTGCCTCTGGCGAACTTGTTGATGGTGATACCTGCCAGGTATGCTTGCACCAGTTCAGCAGTATGTGATTTTCTGACTTGAATTTCCAAATGAAAGAAAGATGGTATTGGAAACTTTTTTTTTTCTTTCGAAAATTTCCTATTTCTTCACTGTGATGTTAAAAGTTGTTGTAAAGGGCATTAGTGCAAGCCTTGAAATTTTGGTTTTATTCTCTTTCTAATTTTCATGTAGTCTACTCTTGCCTTATGGAGCATTTGAAATCCATAAATGACTTTGTTTTGTTGGACATATTAAACCTTGTGTTTGATTCAGAAACATGGCTTGCAAATCCATATGGATGCCTGCAATGGAATACAACTTAATGAGTAGTATACAGATAATAATCGAAACTATTCACTGGGCTTTGCACAGGAATTTAATTTTTTGCTTTCAAAGAATTGACATTGACGTTTTCAGCTAGGCACGTTAAGAGAGCTCCAAAGGCTCTATGATGAGCTTGTTGAGTCAGCTGATGCCTGCCGGTTGGATCGGTACACCGCATCTGAGAAAGCTGGAAGGTAAACTTTCTATTTTGTTTTTTCTTTATTCGGAACCCAATTTCCGTTTGCTTGTTGATTTGGTTTTCATCTTTTTCTATTTCCATGCTTTAGTTGGTGTTAATTTCATATTGTTTATCTATTTTCAGGAGTAGGTGGCTATGGTCTCGTTTCATGCCGCAGTCTATGTATGCACCTGTTAAAGGTCTATATCTATATGGAGGAGTGGGCACTGGAAAAACCATGTTGATGGACTTGTTTTTCGACCAATTGTCAGCTTACTTTTACTCTGTTCTTTTCAAATAATTTAGCAAAACCTAGTACATTAGCAAATATATTATGAGTATATGCAGTATTAGTCTTATCTTTTATCACTTTTATTCTCTTCATTATCATATTTGATTGTGTTTTTCCTTTATCATGTATTCCTCCTCTTATTGACTTCATTTTGAGTGCCCAGGCCAGATAGTTGGAGGAAGAAAAGGATTCATTTTCACGACCTCATGTTGAATGTCCATAGCCGATTGCAAGTAAGAATGCAGTTCTGTATAAGTTACGGAACTAAAGGATTTTTCTTATCGTCAACAAGAAAATACATTTAGGCTAAACTAGGGTTTAGGTCTGATAAAGTTGAGTCTTATTAAGTTGTTTAAACTGGTCTAGTATATGATAACAATATTCTTTATTGCAAACTTCAACTACAAGCTTTATTAGTCGGTAGAACTCCTAGATGGACAATATTTGACAGGGTTATTCTGAACTATAACTAGTTTGCATATGTGAGAACTAATGTATCTTCATCCAGTAAATCAGTATTGTGCGTTTTGATTATCCCATAAAAATATAGGAAATTCTACAAGAACCAATGTTCGTAAACTTTGAATAATGTTCTAAACCTGGAAGTTCATAGGTCCTAGAAGTATAGAATGCATGTCCTACGAAGATATTTAGTTTATTAATTATTACTAAGCGTCATGTATTTTTGTAGAAGCACAAGGGTGTGGCAGATCCACTTGAAGTTGTTGCAGCAGAGATATCGGATGAAGCCCTTTTATTGTGTCTAGATGAATTCATGGTATCCTAGTTATAACATTATCTTCTTCTTCTTCTTCTTTTCTTGGGCACAATGTATGTCCGATTTCCATGTCTTTGGGTACACCTTCCTTTACTATGTGATCTTCCTTAGGTGACTGATGTTGCTGATGCATTAATCCTAAACCGTCTGTTCAGACACTTGTTCAGCAATGGTATTGTAAGTAGTTCAATTTCATGTCTTCTCTTCTCGGCCATTTTTTTACATTATGATTTTGACAATGTTCTAGTGATTATATTCATAACTATTTGTTTTGTCTGTATGGTTTGAGGAAAGTATAGATTCTTGTTTCGACTTCAAATCGCGCTCCAGACAAATTGTACGAAGGTGGATTGCAACGGGATCTTTTCCTGCCATTCATTGCCACTTTGAAGGTATATATGGATGTGATTGGATGTTATTTTACTTGAATTGGTGTGTGGTCGTTATATGGAGTAACCTGCAATCTTTTTCATGAAAGAGAAAAAAAAAATTTCCTTGCAGTATGGACCTGTATATTTGGCACAAGAAATGATGGAAGGTGTTATGGACTTTTAGATTCATGCAAAGTCATGGCAATTTTCTGCAGTGCCGATCTACTTCAGCTCTTATGTATTTGTCTCTTTTCTGCATTTGTTGTTCATTTAATAATTTGGAAAACTATTTCATTGTAGGAAAGGTGTGTAGTTCATGAAATCGGCTCATCTGTAGACTATCGAAAAATGACTTCCGTAAGGATTATTAACTGCTCAGCTCGTACATTTATTACCACTTTATTTATTTACACAAGTTATATCAATTGAAAACTTCTTGTCTGTACCTGAACTGTAGGCTAAGCAAGGGTTCTACTTTGTTGGTAAAGATTTGTCTGATGTTCTTATGCAAAAATTTGAAGAATTAATTGGCGAACACAAAGCTTATCGACAAGAAGTGGAAGTAGTGATGGGAAGGACGCTACAGGTATTTTGCTAAGTTTTAATTTGCAAGGCGCAGGTAGAGCATATTACTTGATCATAATACTGAAAAATATATTTTTGTATCATTTACACCTATAGGTTCCACTGGGTGCAAACGGATGTGCATATTTTCCATTCGACGAACTCTGTGATAGACCTCTTGGGGCTGCAGATTATTTTGGATTATTCAGTAAGTTCTCTTTATCAGAGTGAATTATTTTGACATGCATAGTAGACTATGACGCCGAGTTCACGAGAATCATGAGAATGTATACTATACCTCCAATTTTTCATTTGAGAGGAAGGGACTGACTCCTGTATAAGAAATAAAAATTTTGGTTAGAATAATTTTAATTAAACCAAGGGAACCCACTTTTTCTACTAAACTTCTTATTATTGTTTGGCCACAGTTGATAGTATGCGTCTACATCTACTCTAGTGTTTTTAATGATTTTAAACCGATGGACGACTGTACTTTTCTCTTTAAAAGTTGAATGTGGCTTTTATTTCTCGGTGGTTGCATTTTAAATAGTGAGAATAGCTATATACTGGTTAAGGCTCTGCTCCTCAGAATGTAATTGATTGGTACTCCTAATCTTAAAAAAGGAGACCATTTTTTTAACAGAATTTTACCAGAAGCACATACTGCTGGTACAATTAAATATCTTATTTTCCGTTTGCTTGTCTCGAGTCTTGACTATCACACGATCAATTGGAAGTCTTTGACCCTTCAAAGATTTATTATCCTTATTTTTCTTAGAGCTGCCAGGGGACATATGCCATATCCTTGGCAAATGATAGTAGCTGCTGAGATGGTTCATGTGTCTTGCATGGAAATGTCCTGAATCCTCTTTTTAGTTCCATATTTGCAGAAACTTTTATGCTGGCGTATTCTGTAAGAGTAATACTTACAGAAGCTTGTTCATTCTCATTTTACAGAGAAGTTTCATACCCTGGCATTAGATGGCGTTCCAATTTTCGGTCTCCACAACAGGACAGCAGCATATCGATTTGTCACTTTAGTTGATGTATGTCCCGCGTCACCCTGACTAGTTTGATTGTCATGAGCTTTCATAGGAATTGGAACTGACTAAATTTCCCCTGCATATTTATTCTCGTCAAGAATTACTGACCTAATAATGGTTTATGGAATACGGTTATCTCTCATAGAATTACTTTTAGCTGTTCTTTACTAATCTAGAAGTTTTGAGTATAATGAGTAAAACTGTATGTTCTTCTAGCTACTCTTTTATGACAAACATATATGAAGTTTCCCTACGGTTTTTATGACCTTTATTGGGATTTTTCCACATTGTGCACCTAATTTGATTTTTTTTTTCCCTTTTTGAGAAGAAACATTTGAAGTATTTGTTCTAATTGAATATGCTCATATTATTTCTTGATTGTGTGCTTTTTGATGAATTTGTTTTCCGTCACACCTAAATTCTAGGAGTTGTTGGTTGGATGAGGGTGGTCATTATTTGGACTTTTTCGTAGCCATAGAGGCTTTAGTGACTGTTCCGGCTTATTGACTGCTTAACTTGTAGTAAAATGTCTACTGTTTTCATGTTGCATTTGGAATAGATCATTCACCATTGTGGTTGCAGGTGATGTATGATAGCAAGGCCAGATTTCTATGTACAGCTGAGGGGAGTCCACTTGAACTTTTCAACAGAATTGTGACGATCGCTGATGCTCAAAGTATTGCACCTAGAACCTCTTCAAGGTCAAGGAAAAATGACGATTCCGACCTCTGTGTCGACAACGAATTGGGCTTTGCAAAAGATCGCACGATCAGTAGGTATGATGCTCAACGATGTGTTCCTGTTCTGTTCCGTCTCAGTTTACCAACTGTGGTTCTTTCCAAGTAAACAAACTTTAAGGCACACTTAGAAAAGTAGAATCCAATTGTTAAGGTAGATTGCTCGATCGATTCTGTTTGGAAGAAAGCATTTATATTCTTCATGATTTACCACTGGATATGATCCTTGTCTGGGACAGACTTCAACAACAACTTTCAAACGCTTCATGTATTTTTCTAATCTATTTTCCTTAGTGGAGAGATGGATTGTAGGAATTTCTTTTCCCTATTTTCTTTTTCAATGTTCCTGCGAAAGTTCCACTTCTCTTGGTTGTTTTTTTTCTTTTTGCTTTTTCCTTATCACTTTCTCACCGGGAGAAAATTCCAAATCTGAATCTAGATTCCTGCTTATTTGCTCTAAAAAGCGTAATTTAAGTTTTCCAAACATTTTCATCAAAAAAAAAAAAAAAAAGAAATCCTCCAAACATTATTATGTTTATCGCTCATTTGTTCACTAAGCATGTTAGACCTTTGTCCTCCGTGCTCAACTGTCATGCCAATCTAAGATTGTATCAGGACACGTTAACTAGATTTCTTATTGTTGTTTTTTAAGTTATTATTATTATTTCAAATTGGCATTGGGGAATCGAATTCTAGACCTCAGTTATGGAGCCTTAAGTGTGGAATCACTACACCAGGGTGCTTCTATATTGTTATGTGATAGATTACTTCGTTCGGGGGTATTTTAAGTACTCTATATACGTATTAGTGTGCCATAGTTCTTGTGCTATCTCCTTTTTTTTTTTTGGTCAGAAAATAAAAACAGAAAGATAGAGAAGCATTGTTGAGAGTTGATTATACCTTGTACTTCTTCATTTGATTATTATAGGGAGAATATGCAGGGGCAAGTGGACATAGCTCACTTGAGGGTGAACGACAAAATATCTTGTGCACGCGCTTTGCTTATCTTTGTTCGTCTTCTTGGGTTCAATTGTTCTCAAATAGTAGGGATTGGGACTTTCAATTTCTAGCACTCTACTGTTGTAGAGTACTGTTACGAAAATTATGGGATTTGTAAACTTCCGAAGGCATAGTCGCCTTTTGTGCCATAACATTTGCACAAATGCTTCGGGGCTCCGCAAGCTCCCAGCATCCTAACTAAAAGGGTCTGGGGCTCAGTCCTTTTTTTAGTAGTCGAGCCGCCTGGTTTTGCTCTAAAATTTGGTGGTGTGGTGGAGACTGGAGACATGTTTTTGCACCTTTACAATTCATTCTTTCCAGCGACTTTCTTTTGTTATAATTGCTGATTGCTAATCCACTGCTTGTTACAGGTTAACAGAGATGAATAGCAAAGAATACTTAGAACAGCATTCTGCCATATTAGCCGAGCAGCCGTCGTCGATGCAGGGCGTCAGTTAAGATCCATTACTGGATATGCATGATACAGAATGGAAGATACAAACAATGATACTGTACCTCAGAGTTGCTGAAATCGAATGGCATATCACAAGTAGCAATGTGCCTTTTTGAATATACGTTTCAGTAAATCTATTACTTGTTACTCTAATAAGATTTAAGCTGTTTTATCCGTATATGTGAATGTAATAAACAGCTTATGCAATCAGTGATGCACTAGTTTTACCCTCCAATTCTTATTGATAAATAATAATTACGATGATTGGTGATGATTCTAGTAAATTCGAATACTGTACTATTAGTTATCATATGGTCTACATGTATTATATATATTTATGGTTACTTATGATGCATGGTGATAAAAATCTAATCTCATTTATTGTTATTAATTTTTTAGTTAATTATTTAATTTATTATAACCGTTTAATCAACACTACCGGTGGAAAAATATTAAAATAATAATTAAAACCAACCTTATAAATATGTATATGTGTTAGACAGTATATTATTTATAGGATACTGATAAAATAAGTTATTTGAGAGGGTTGTGGAAAAAATGTTTATAAAGACCTTTTTTTATGGTAAAATGTATTCCAAATCAAAGAGATACAAGCACTAATACTGACTCAAATGATTTTGCAAGATAAGAAAACTTAACTCCGATAAATGATCAGTACCACTGGTAAGTTCTAATGAAATTCTCAAGGAGATGAAGCGTGCACTAAGTTGCAACGACAGAAAATTAAAAAGGCACGCTAATAATCAAGCACACAAACAATTCGAAAATCAACTATACAATTGATGAAAACCTCAGATTGATTAAGACTAAATAACTTATAAACCAAAGTTAAGAACAAACGGTGGGACACAAAAATAAAATTAAAAGGTGGGGAAAACTTTCTTACCGTCTCCCTTTCTCTCTCTCTCTTCGCAGTCGAACGCACTACTCTTACGACGATGTCGCGACGACGCTAGTGGCGCTAATGTTGCAAACTTCCGGAGGAATTAGGCATATTTTTTTTTGGTTGGCTTGCTTTTTTTATTGAGCATATGTTTTAGTTGACTTGTCTTTTATTTTTAACATATTTTTAGTTGACTTGCCTTTTTTCAGATAATTAATACAGCAATTAACTGATTTAATGTTAGACGTAGGATTTATTAATCTCATTTTTTCTCTCAGTGATATTTTTTATCTATGAAACTGCTACACTGCTTCCTCTTTGCTTTTGATTTATTTTATCTTACATCTATTAGTATGCACTATTGATTTCATATATTGGTTTGAATTGATTTTGTTTTATTATTGTTCGTTTGTATTATTTCCCTATGATGTATTATGTGGTTGCTTTTTTTTATTTTATGTTGTTGATGTTTATGTGTTTCTCTGAGTAGGTTTTGAATTTAGTGCGTGTTCTTATTTTTAGTGATTTTATTCAGATTTATGAGTATATACAGATTTTATTGATTTGATTTATCGGTTTGAATTGTTTATTCCATTATCTATTCGTTTGTATTGTTTCCCCATGATCTATTCTATGGTTACTTTTTTATCTTATGTTGTTGATGTTAATGTGTTTCTCTAGGATGGTTTTGAGTTTTTTATGGGTGTTCTTATTTTTGGTGATTTTTTTTTTTTACAAATTTTTTAATGATTTAGCAAATTTGCTTTTAATTCTAAATTTTCATTTATTATCGCCCTTCATTATAATAATGAATTCATGAATATTACAATAAAACTTTTACTTTTCTATTCATTGTTTTCCATGCGTCTTCATTTTCATAATAAAAACATTAATTAGAATGTGAGTAACGATTGTTTTCATTGTGAATATACCAATTTGATATTCATTATGACAATGAAGATATAAATGACATGAATGTTCCCAGTGGTTTTGATTTAAATAATGAAAAACTTCCAATTTATTCATGTTCATAATGACATGATATCTAGTGTAATGAGAACGTAAATTATGAAGGCACTTTTTTTTATTTTATTTCAAATAGATCGTGATTGTGTTAGCACACATATATTCATTTTCATAAGAACTAATTATTTACATACAAAAATGTTATAGTTAGTTAGAAGTAAAATGATTTTTTAAAATCAGTTCTTATCATACAAATCCAAATCATTACCATATATATAAATTCATTATTATAGTGAAGCAGTCATTATTATAATGATTACATGCTAAAACAATTTTCCCAGTTATACAACTATCATAATTCATACTGAACACGCACTATCGTAAAGAAATGCGAAAAACCATTGTCATAATAAATAGGTCAATGAAATTGCATATCGCTACAATTAACAACTTATTCATACATTTATTATCATAATGAATATGTCATCAGCATAAGAAAGTCAAAAATCATCCGCTAAGCTATTTATACATAAAACCTCATTATTGGAAAAAAAAAATCCATACAAATAAATTAAATCAGAATATAACTACTTTTTTTTTTTAAAGAAAGTGCATTTAAAAAAAAAATGAAGGCGTGATTAAATCAAATAATATTTTGTATCAAGATTTTTTATTATGTTTCCTATTTTAAAAATTCATTATTGTTTTCATTTTTTTACTAAATAGGGTAAGAAAGGTCTTTGTGTGTCTCATTTCAGACACTATTGTAGTTATAAATATATATATATATATATATATATTTTTTTTTTACGGTGCAATTTCATCAATAGAAATACACGTGGCTATTATCTAATAGTCGGTTGGATTACTGACTAAATCATGTCTAAATAGATGTTCTATATTCGATACAATTCGGTTAATGACGTGCAATTGATTGTGTATGGGCTTTACGGGTTTTTCGGAACACGAAAGAAACTCAAAGAAACAATAAGAACGCTAAGAATAGTGGTTCACTCTCAATGCAAGAGCCCACTTTGAGGAATTTCTCTCTTTTTTGATTGCCAGAAATTTGGTTCTCTTATATGTCTATTCGTCTTTGTCTTTCTCTCCTGGGTCATACCCCTTTTATATCTCACATATTACATAGGAAGAAAGATGGAAATAGGCCAAGACTTGAGATGAATTAAAATTAATAGGCCAATAGTTTACATAAGTTAATAAATAGGCCAAATTATTGTTTTCGTCCATAACTTGTCTGATTATGAACCATAACTTGACAAGTTATTATCCATAACTTATCTGGTTATGAACCATAACTTAATAAGTTTGTCCATAACTTATATGGTTATGAACCATAACTTGATAAGTTTGTCCGTAACTTATCTGGTTATGAACCATAACTTGACAAGTTATGGCTTATTAATTTCTATAACTAAAAATTGGTCTATATACTTTCTTAAACTTTTCATATTGGCTTATTTCCTACTATTTCCGTATTACATATTGGAGAATACCGAGGCTAATGGTTACCCTAAGGTTGCACTTGAGTAGCCTATTGTCCTACTCAACTAGACTGCAGCCATACAATGCTTTTCTAATCGTTCATCTACATACTCTGCCTAAAATTGCAGCGGCCCTGTGACTTTCCCGTGATTTCCTATTGGTCTATTTTGGGCAGCCAACAAGCTAATAATAATTTTTCTAGCCAATGATTTTGTTTATACCCGCAAGTAATTTAAGGATTTCTCTAATGTCGCCTCAAGGGGTCTTCTCAGGATTTGGGTCTGATCACGTTGCCTTCTCCGCTTTCACTGGGTCTGGATAGCTAGTCCAGACAGAGCCTTCGTCCTCGTTGATCCCTGCATGTAATCGACAGTCTACGGGATTTTGGAACCATCTTCGTCTCAACCACTTAATCGGTCGACTACCCTCGTAGATGTTGCACATTACAAGCTTGTTGTTCCTAAGTGTTTCTTCAAGGATTATCTTGAAGGAATGCGGAGCAGTCGGGGTCTCTCTCATTACAAGAAGCACTCATCTTTGAAACAATTGAAGCTCCATTAGTTGAAAAGCTGATCCTTCGACTGTCATCGCCTATTTGTCGTTTGGCGTGGCAAGACAATGACCACATAGTATTTATTTGTTGTCTGACGTGGCAAAGTAGATTTTCTCTCATAATATATATATATATATGTGTGTGTGTGTGTGTGTATGTATGTGTGTGTGAGAGAGAGATAATAGTGATCTACAGATCGGTAATTGCATTGAACCCAACCCGAGGATTCTCGAGTTTCAACATTTAAAACTCAAACGAAAATTCATCAAACTTTATGTGAAAATATTTTAAAAAATAAAAATAAATAAATAAATAAGAAGCCGATTCACCATAAGAAACCTCAATTTATGGGTGATCTCAATCTAGTAGCAGCCAAAGAAATCTGTGTTGACATAAGCGTTTCGTATGGGCTCATTTAGCGGAATGGTCGAATCTGGTTACTTTTTCAAGCCGGTTGAAGAAACAGCCAAATTCTTCTCTGATCAATCAATATACTGCAACGAAAACAATAATAATAATAATAATAATAAAAGGGCGATTAAAACAGTATTTCAATGACCAAAATTTCGGTCCATAAAATAAGCCTAACGATCAGAACACAAGGTCCCAATGAATCGTACACAAAAGTTTAATATATGAGAAATTACGCACCTATGATCTGAGGACAATACCAAACGGACCCACTAAGAAAGCGATCAAGCAAGAAAGAATAATAATAATAATAATAATAATAATAATAAAAGAAGATGAGGCATATAGATACCACCTTCAGTCACACTGCACCTTCTGCTACTATATTCGGGATATGCAATTAACGAAAATTGATTTGTGTAGTCTCATGTAAATACACAAAAGTAACCGAAAAGGAAATCTCAATCCTTAGGAAATCATATCTTTAACAACCAAAGATACATATACGTGGCATATAAAAAATAAATCAAAATAGTAGATTTGATAAAGGACTTTAAATCAAAATTCAAAAAGAAAAAGAAGTGAATAAATTCCATAAATTCGGAATATTAAATTTCAATAAATATAAAAATGCTCAGTGCAAAGTGTTCCTCAACCAAAGCTCAACAATTGAAAGCGAAACCGTTCGTAGTTTTTTTGAAAGCGAAACCGTTCGGAGTTTTTTTGAAAGCGAAACCGTTCATAGTTTGTTATTGACGTGCAATTGATTGTGTATGGGCTTTACGGGTTTTTCAGAACACGAAAGAAACTCAAAGAAACTCAAAGAAACAATAATAACACAAAGAATTATAGTGGTTCACTCTCAATGCAAGAGCGACGTCCACTTTGAAGAATTTCTCTCTTTTCTGGTTGCCAGAAATTTAGTTCTCTTATATGCCCGTATTCGTCGTTGTCTTTCTCTCTTGGGCCATGCCCCTTTTATATCTCACAGATTACATATTAGAGAATACCGAGGCTAATGGTTACCCTGAGGTTGCACTCGAGTAGCCTATTGTCCTACTCAACTAGACTGCAGCCATACAATGCTTTTCTGATCGTTCATCTACATACTCTGCCCAAAATTACAGCGGCCCTGTGACTTTCCCGTGATTTCCTATTGGTCTATTTTGGGTGGCCAACAGCCTAATAAGCATTTTTCTAACCAATGATTTTGTTTATACCCGCAAGTAATTTAAGGATTTCTCTCATGTCGCCTCAGGGGGTCTTCTCGGGATTTGTATCTGATCACGTTGCCCTCTCCGCTTTCACTGGGTCTGGATAGTGAGTTCAGACAGAGCCTTCGTCCTCGTCGATCCCTGCATGGAATCGACGGTCTACGGGATTTTGAAACCATCTTCATCTCAACCGCTTATCGGTCGACTGCCCTCGTGGATGTTGCACATTACAAGCTTGTTGTTCCTAAGTGTTTCTTCAAGGATTATCTTGAAAGAATGCGGAGCAGTCGGGGTCTCTCTCATTACAAGAAGCACTCATCTTTGAAACAACTGAAGCTTAATTAGCTAGAAAGCTGATCCTTCGACTGTCATTGCCTATTTGTCGTTTGACGTGGCAAGACAATGACCACAGTGTCTATTTGTTGTTTGACGTGGCAAAGTAGATTTTATCTCATAATATATATATATATATATATATATATTTATATATTTATATATATATGTGTGTGTGTGTGTGATTATAGTGATCTACATATCGGTAATTGCATTGAGCCCAACCCGAGGATTCTCGGGTTTCAACATTTAAAACTCAAACGAAAATTCATCAAACTTTATGTGAAAATAAATAAATAAGAAGCCGATTCACCATAAGAAACCTCAATTTACCGGTGATCTCAATCTAGCAACAGCCAAAGAAATCTGTGTTGACATAAGCGTTTCGTATGGGCTCATTTAGCGGAATGGTCGAATCTGATTACTTGTTCAAGCCGGTTGAAGAATCAGCCAAATTCTTCCCTGATCAATCAATGTACTGCAAAATAATAAAAGGGCGATTAAAACAGTATTTCAATGATCAAAATTTCGGTCCATGAATAAGTCGTTGAACAGAACACAAGGTCCCAATGAATCGTACGCAGAAGTTTAACATATGAGAAATTACGCGTCTAAAATCTGAGGACAATGCCAATGCCAAACGGACCCGCTAAGAAAGCGATCAAGCAAGAAATAATAATAATAAAAGAAGATGAGGCATATAAATACCACCTTCAGTCACACTACACCTTCTGCTACTATATTCGGGATATGCAATTAATGAAAATTGGTTTGTGTGGTCTCATGATGTAAATACACAAAAGTAACCGAAAAGGAAATCTCAATCCTTAGGAAATCATATCTTCAACAACCAAAGATACATATACGTGGTATATAAAAAATAAATCAAAATAGTAGATTTGATAAAGGCCTGCAAATCAAAATTCAAAAAGAAAAAGAAGTGAATAAATTCCATAAATTCGGAATATTAAATTTCAATAAATATAAAAATGCTCAGTGCAAAGTGTTCCTCAACCAAAGCTCAACAATTGAAAGCGTTCGTAGTTTTTTTGAAAGCGAAACCGTTCATAGTTTGTTATTGACGAGTTCAAAGATAATCAAAATTAATTAAATGGGAAGCTTAAGAAATGCCGCTGAAGACGGGCACACTTGAAGCCTTTAACAATGATAGAACAGATCTGCAAAGTGCAAAGTGTTCCTCAACCAAAGCTCAACAATTGAGAAAGACGAAACTCAGAAGTTGCCATATCAACATCACAAGCGAAAGCTTCCATTAACTTCAGCTCTCATGAAATGACAAAACTACCTAGTGTGTGTCCTATTATGAAACAAAACTATTTCCACGAATTTCATAACTTTATACTTGTATCATTCTCCTTCACATCGATAATGCCACACTTCCCCTCTCCATGATTCTTGTCACCGCTTCATTTCCTGCTCGACGTCATGGTAACGAGCACCTGCACCATGACTAACGTTGGAAAGAAACAGAATAGGAGCCAGTGTTTGGATCTTTGACAGCTTTGAAGTTGTCAACGCTCATTCCAAAGCGGCCCAGCAAAGAGTTGCCCATCTCTTTCAGCTTCCCTGCTCAGAAGTCAAAATCAACAATTTAATACCTAGTTAGTTAATCTTAATAAAATCAAAGCACACGAACAAAGTGCCCAGACAAAGCACGTAATATTGCTAAGCAAGCACAGAGTGCAAAGGATACAAAATAATATAGTTTCCAAGTACAAATTTAGTTCCCCTGAAACATACAATGTCAATGTTCTAAGATGAAATCATGATCAAGTAGTTGAACTCTTGAACTAAAAGCTGTTAAGACAAGCCAGCTAAAAGTAGAGCTTGACATAGCCAAGAAATATGCTCATGAATGTATGATAAACTGAAGAAGAGATGCTTTGTGCCTGTTTGTTACCGTTTTCATTCTCATTTTTTACGTTTTTCGAAGCAAAAAATTGAAAATAGTAATAAGAAACGCGTTTGGCGAAGTTTGTTTTAGAAAACAAAAACAAAACTGTTTTTGTCGTTTTGTGGAATTTTGAAAACGAAAAAAAACCCGTTTTCATTTTCGTTTTCCTTCTTTCTTCAGCCTCCCGTTCTCTCTTCTTCTGATTTTTTCTTCCCTTCTTCAGCCGAGCTCTTCTTCCCTTCCCTTCTTCAGCCAAGCCCCGGCGTTCTTCTCGCCCGTTTCGCCTGACTTGCGCCGTTTGCTTCTCACCCGAGCTCCTCCGTTCGCCTGAGCTCCTCCGGTCTCTTGTTGCCCGATCTGCCCTGTTCTCATCTCGCCGTTTTCTCACCGAGGTATGCCCCTAGCCAAAAATGTTTGATGGTTTTCCGTTCAATTTGGTTTTCTTCTGATTTTTTTTTTTTTTTTTCCGTTTTGGCCCTGTTCTCGTCTCGCCGTTTGATTTGCTATATTCAACCAAATTGGTTGCTAGTTTTCCGTTTGATTTGGTGTTGTTTTCTTTCTAATTTTGCTATGCTTGATCTGATTTGGTCATTTTTTTTTTCCCCCTGGAGGCCCCCGTTGGGGTTGATACAGCCCCGGGGGGCCTCCCATTGGGGCTGTATCAGCCCCCCCGAGCCCCCCCCCCCCCCCCGTTGGGGCTAAATCAGCCCCTGGGGGCCTCCCATTGGGGCAGGCGTGGGAGGCCCCCAATGGAGGCTGATAATCAGCCCCAATGGGGGCTGATTTTCAGCCCCCATCAGCCCCAATGGGGGCTGATAATCTGCCCCAAGCCCCATCAGCCCCAATGGGGGCTGATTATTAGCCCTGATGGGGGGGGCTGATTCTGGTTACAGTAACACGCAAGGCTTTTTGGCACCATTTCGTGGTCAGAGGTACCACATTCAACAGTTTAGAAATGGTGGTCAACTAACGGGACCACAAGAGTTATTCAATTATTATCACTCTTCATTGCGTAATTGCATAGAGAGGTGCTTTGGGGTCTTGAAAGCAAGGTTTAAAATTCTTAGGCATATGACCAATTATTGGATGCCAAGACAAAATATTATACCAATAGCTTGTTGTGTGATCCACAATTTAATTAAGATGCACGCGCGAAATGATCCTCTATTTAGACAATATGAGGTCGATTTTCCCGTAGAAGATATTGAGGGAGAACAAGAAGGGTAACAGGAACAACAACATGGTATGGATGCACAAGAAGCAGAAACATCTGAAATGGGTGGTCGGCAACAATGTAATTACATGGTTAATTTTAGGGATCATCTAGCTAATCAAATGTGAGATTCGTATAGGCGACAATAATTTAAGCTAATATTGTAATTTTCATATTTTATTAATTATTCGTGTTTTTATTTGTAATTTAATTATTATTTATTTAATATATTAAATACTATTACATGTTTTTAAAAATGAAACCACCAAATACAGTTTCAGTTTTTTTTAAAACTGAAATCAATCTCTAAATAAAACTACCAAACGCATTTTCAGAAATAATTCAAAAATGAAAATGAAAACGTTTTTATTTCCATTTTCGTACAGAAAACAAAAACGTTTTGGAACCAATTCCAAACGCACCCTTTGTAATTTTACTTGCATGACAACAGCCAAAAAGTAAGAAGAAACAAAACAAAAAAGACATGGCATGCATCTAATGACGTCCAAGAAGACTCGACAACTTTTAAAGAATTAGTTCTACATGTAACAGTTACAACTTACTGATTACGGACATGCAAACAATAGCTTAATTTTTTTCATAAGGTTTTGTTTGCATCTTTTGTGGATGATAATTGTAGTACAGTTCACTAAGATAAGAAGTAAAAAATCTAGAGAGAGAAACTCTACCTTCTCTCTAGAATTCTAAGGGTCATCAGTTGTTGTTTAATCTTTGAGAATTCTATTGCCAGCTCTAGTTGATTTTGATGGGCATTATGGTTAGTATTCCTTAGAGAGTCCATAATGAGTTACAAACACTGTGATCAAGATTTTAGAACCAAACATAAGGTTTTCATTCTTCAGATTACAAATTACGGGCAAAGTATTAGGATTACAGAAAGAAATCAAGTTGCTAGCTTCGATGTCAATCTCGACTTGGGTGATGCTTTTTGGTTGATGGAGGTTGAGTCTCAGGCGGCGGATGCAAAGAAGGATGGAGCTTTCTTGAGAAAATACAGGGGTTCATCTTATGTTTTGGTCGTGGAGATAAAGAGAAATAGCAAGGGAGAGTTCTTGAAGGTGATGAGAATCAACAGAAGTGAGGTGAAGAATGTCATTATCCCTGGGGAGGGAAACAGAAAAGGATGCAGAGATTTGAATTGATGTCTGGAAAATTTCTTTAGCAAAAAAAACCAGACTTCCAAGAATAAAACTCTCATGAGGAAAGATTTTACTCGAGCGGCTGCTAAACACGAATTCTTTAGCAAAAAAAACCAGACTTCCAAGAATAAAACTCTCATGAGGAAAGATTTTACTCGAGCGGCTGCTAAACACGAAGGCATCTTAGACGTTAGGGAAGACAAGGAAGAGAAGAGATGGGAAAGAGCTGTGGATGTTTACAGAGATTGGATGGAAGGATGGACAGAGATCTCGAAGGGATTGAGCGAAAAACTTCAGAGAAAAGTAAGAGTCTCTCCTCTGTTTGCAGATAGAGCAATACTCTGGTGTCAAAGTGATTATGAACGCGACACACTCATGAAGGAAAACTCTGTTCATATCAGAAATCAACATGCGATTACGATTAAGAGATGGTGCATTGAAACACATTGGAAACATGTCAAAATAGAAGGCAGAGCAAGCTGGATTAGAATAGAGGGGCTTCCACTTCACATGTGGAACAGTCATACGTTCAATGTTATTGGAAACAAACTCGGAGGTCTCCTCAACATGGCTGAGGACACAGCAAGGTTAGAGTTCTTGCCTTATGCAAAAATACAAGTAAAAGGCACGGCAAAAAGGCTTTATTCTATCAACAATGGAAATTAGATGTTGGGGAAAGAGGAGAACGTTGGGTTTCTTCAATTTGGACAATAATATGAAACCAAAGGTCGCTGAAGGTTTCAAAGGAGCAAGGACGTCGAGATGGTGTATGGAGGTTGAAGATGATGAGCTGAAGTCTTTGGATGATGTGGACACCACGTGTGCAGAGCATATTGACAAGGAGATCAATTCCACTAACAACGTGGATACAGCATGGCCACAAGGCGAAATTCGCAACAACTGCTCTTGGAGACAAACCAAAGGAATCGAAGAGTTAGTTTTTAGAAACAACTCAATTATCGAGGAAACAGTTGGCGAGCGCTCCAATAATGCATGCGGCCGTAATTATTGCATGGTGTACAACAGGTTCGATGCAATTAACCTAATTAAAACATACATGGAAGATGAAAGTTCAGAGGAAGGAGTAGAATCATCAATCCAGGGTCAGGATGATAAAATTGGGCCTAAGCCCAATCTATCTGGTCTGGTGGGTCAAAGTCCAGGGCTTCCAAACTCAGGTTATGAGTTTCGCCCCAATTGTGCTTTTTCTGAAACAGTAAACAGGAAGGTTTAAAGCCCAATTAGAAGTGTAAACTCAGAACCCATTATTTCAAAGACCAAACGAAGCAAAAGGGAAAAACCAAAAAAAGCAAAAGATTTTTTGATTGGAAGAATCTTTCGGTGGGATAACAAAACGGCATCGTCAACGGGACGACAAAAAATTTGGAGACTTGTACGTTGCTGCTATTAAATGAGACGGGTGGAGAAGCTAAGAACATCAATCCGAACCAATTCAAACTAGTTTTCTTACGAGGTCACAAAAGAAGATGATGGGTTCAACGAAGAGGAGAAGAAGGGGACCATGAGGAATTTGACGAAGTATTCAATTATGTTGAGGAATTTCAAGAAGGAGATTGGGCGATCCAAGGACTGGTGGACTCCTCGGCAGAAGAAAATAGTTCTGAGAGCGAACGGGACGATGGATCAATAGAGGAAATTCAAGAAACTCAGCAGGAGGAGCAATACGCAGGTTTAGAAGAGGTAAAGCTTATTCTTAGCGACAGTCAAGCAAATTCAGATATAAAGGACCAGGTAACTCTCCTTAACCTTGAAAATAGTTTGAAAAAGAGAAGAGGCAATAGGGAGTTACAGAACTTGACTTTCAATGTGAATTATGAAAAGTCAGCATCAAAACAGGGCGAGGAAGGTTCTAAATGAAGTTTATGTCATGGAATATTAGAGGAGGATGTTCCCTCACTAAAAGAAGAAGCATCAAGATTAACACGAAGTGTGAGGGCGTTTGATGAGCTTATTCGAGAGATGGAGCTTATTGATCCTCCCCTAAATAATGCTAGTTTCACATGGTCCAATTTATGAGAAACCCCTATTTGTTGCCGTTTGGACAGATTTCTATACTCACCGGGGTTTGGAGAATCGTTTAGTAGACGTTTGGTTCATGGATTCAGAACCATTCTCAGTTTACGTGTGTTTTTTGTGAGAGAAAACACTGTAGCGAACCACAAACCATGATTCAAATTATGGTACGAATCTACCAACCAAACGCAAGTGTTAATTTTCTGCGATAAGAAGCGATAGTTCGGTGTGTTTCGAATCACTGTCCTATTGTGCTGTCTACCGATCCCCCCAAATTGGGGTCCTACGCCATTTAGATTCGAAAATATATGGCTAGAGCACAAGCGTTTCAAGAAGGATTTGGAGGTTTGGTGGAGGGAGGAAACGGGTCAAGGGTGGGCTGGTTACAAGTTTATGAGGAAATTGAAGAATATGAGGGGTCAACTGAAGATATGGAATAAGGAAGTTTTTGGAGACACTCGGGTAGAAAAATTGATAAAATCAAAGATAATAGCGGAGATAGATCGTGTTGAAGGATCTCCAGAGTGGTCTACGGAATTAGATGAAGAAAGAGTCAAACTTAAAGATGAAGTCGAAATTTAAATGGGCCAAGGATGGGGATGGAAATTCTAAAATGTTTCACAGCCTCATGAATGCTAGGAAGGCAAAGAACACCATTTCCAAGCTCGAAACATCGGACGGGAGGTTATTGGCCAGTGAAGAGGAAATTGTGGAGGAAGTGACCAATTATTTTAGCAATCTTTTCTCCTCCTCCGGTATCCCCTTCAGGGGTATTGAAGGAGTGGAGTGGTCTCCAATCTCTATGGTGGAAGCTAATGAATTAGAGAAATCTTTTGAGGTAGAGGAGGTGAGGAGGGCATTCTTTGATTGTGACGGTAATAAGTCCCCAGGTTCGGACGGGTACTTGATGGCATTCTTCCAATCAAATTGGGATGTTGTGAAATCGGATTTAATGGAAGTTTTGATTTAGTTTTATTCAGATGGTGTGGTCAATGCGTGTACAAACGAGACGTATATTACCCTTATACCAAAGAAAGCTAATTCTTGCAATGTTGGTGACTATAGGCCGATAAGCCTGGTTACAAGCTTATACAAGATCATCTCTAAGGTGTTAGTTTTGAGGCTGAAAACAGTAATGGAAACTACAATATCTCAAGCCCAAGGAGGCCCAAGGAGCGTATGTTTTAGATGTTGTGCTTATCACGAATGAGGCGGTGGAGGAGTATCGAGCTAGCGGTAAACTGGGGATAGTTTTCAAGGTGGATTTTGAAAAGGCAAGTGATCATGTTGAATGGAGATGCTTGGATTTTGTGTTGGAGAAAAGGGGGTTTGGAGTTAAATGGAGAAATTGGATAAATGGTTGTTTGAAAACAGTCTTATTCGGTCATGATAAACGGTAGACCAAGGGGAAAGTTTGGAGGATCTCGAGGCCTTAGACAAGGTGACCCATTATCACGTTTTCTCTTTACTCGAGTTGCTGATGTCTTGGGGCAGTTGGTGAATAAGGCGGTAGCAGAACAAAAACTGAAGTGTTTTGAATTTCATAATTTCTCATTTGCAGTTCGCAGATGATACTTTATTCTTTGTGAAGGGTGAGGAGGACAATATCTGGAGACTTATGGAGGTCTTAAATTTGTTCTGTTTAGTCTCGGGGCTAAAGATTAATGTGAGTATAAGTATGTTGTTGGGGATCAACATTCAGGCGGATGAAGTCTCAAGTTTACCAAATGTGGTGGGGTGCTCGGTGGAATCATGGCCAATTAAATACCTTGGGCTCCCATTAGGAGGAAATCCGTTGAGAGAAGAATTTTGGGAACCCGTAGTTTTAAAGACAGCAAAAAGGTTGGATGGATGGAAGAGATCTTTTTTGTCTAGAGGAAGGAAGTTAACTCTTCTTTCTATACCATAGGTAATGATGCCATAGGTAATGATGCCACTATTTCTTGGAATTTCCATTTTTGGAGGAACCCTAGTGAAGGGAGTTGGGTGAGGTGGTGGAGTTGTTATCCTGTTTAGAGGGGGTGAGAGTTTGTGTTGCCTTAGAAGATAGGTGGGTGTGGGATTTGGAAGGGCCAGGGATATTCTCCTGTAAGTCCTTTTTTCAATTCTCTAGTTGACAATCAATCTTTTCTGCCTTCCCCTTTTTATCATTTTGTTTGGAAAATCTCGATTCCTACGAAAATTCAGGTTTTTGGCTAGTTATTTTCACTTTGCAAATTGAATGCGCAAGATATGTTGCAAAAGAGGAGGCCTTTCCTCTCTATTTCTCCGGGTTGGTGCTTGTTGTGCAGGAATGAAAATTAGTCTTCGGATCACTTGTTTCTTCACTGCTCTTTTTCTTCGAAGATTTGGCATAAAATTTTAGGGGAGTTTCGGTTGCAATGGGTTTTTCCGAGAAGTATTCCCAATTTAATGGGTCTAGATGTCTTGGTTGGTTGGAATAAGAAAGTTTCCCAACTTTGGAACATTGTAATACTAGCTTCCCTCTGGGCGTTGTGGCTGGAAAGGAATAATCGAACCTTTGAAGGGGTTGAGGAAAAGATTTGTGAGATTTGGGATCGCATAATTTACTGGGTAGCGCTGTGAACTTCGCAACTTTTTCTTTCTTGGATATGTTAAAGGGATGGGATTTAGTTCTGGCTTAGTTTTCGTATTAGCCTTTTGCGCTTGTGTTTTTTTTTTTTACTTTATAGTTCTTTTTTGTTCACTTAGTTCTGTTCCGTGGACTTCTTATTCTCTGAAAAAAAGGGGATCTACTTAGGGGGTGGGATAGTATATTTCATTAAGCCTTTCTGTGGTTTCTGGTTTAGTAGGTCTTTAGGCTTTTTGTGTTTTCTTGGTGGACCGCTTGTCCCCTTTTGTATTTGCTTTCTTTTTTATTTAATTCAAGGTTCCCATTTCTTATCCAAAAATAAAAGTACAGTTCACTAAGATGTCTTGTTCATGATCTAATTACGCGGTTGCTCTAAAGAGCTAGCTGACTGTTAGTGCATCAGGTGTCAAAAGGCTATTGACCAGAAATGCATATCCAAATGCACAATGAACTTGAAGAGTAAATGATGGTAACTTATAGACTAAAAAGCTGGACATAATCCACAGAACATATGCAAATTAACGTGGATTGGTACACAACTTGGAGGACATGAATGAATAATTGGTAGCTTCTTACTGTTCGGAGACAACAAAAGCATAAGTCCTACCCTCGGCTACTATGAATTTTAAGGGATAGACATAGAATACTCTTCGCAAGTTTTAAACTTGATAAGTAATTCAAGATAAGTGGACACATATTCTGCAAATCAAACACAGTCCACAATTTTGAAATTCCATCATTATTTCTTTTTTTTTTTTTCCTCTGCTTGAAACGGTTTTATAATATGCTTTGAAGATCAGTCCTCCTTTATAGGCGCATAAGGCACTAAAACTTTTGGAGTCTTGCTTGAGAAGGCATGCCTGACCTCTAGAGACTCTAATACTTTAAATTAGCAGAAAAAAATATTGGTAAAAACACACATCAAGATGGTTCAATACTCTTACCAATCATCTCTTCTTTCATCTTTTCTCGCTTTTGTTCTGCAAGTGGCTCCAAGCGACGAATTGATTTCTTAGCTTGGTCATTTAAGGGATCCAACTCCAAGGATTTTTTCATATCTGAAAGCAACAAAATGGCGAAATGCAAAACCAGAAGAGAGAAGCATTATTCATACTTCTTCAAATCCTTTCAAGTTACAGCATAACAAGGATAAAAAACAGGTGTTGCTATGAGTAGAAACTAGAAAGAAGATTTAGGAATGTTGTGGATCTAGAAAGTCCAAAATATAACGAGCAACAGAAAAAAATAGAATAAAAATTTTGAATTATAGTTTAATGACAACAACAAATCTAAACTTACCTGCAATGGCTTCCTCAAAATTCTCAAGCTTTTCACGAGCCTCTGCTCTTCTTAACAGAGCTTTTATGTATGACGGATTCAGCTCCAATGCTTTAGTGCATTCTTTGACTGTGTCCTCATATTTTCCCTGGAATAATATGCAATTAAATATTCATCCATACATGAGAGAACATATACTTGGAAAACTAAATCAGGAAACAATAGCACAAAAGATTACTTTCGCATGTAGGAAAAACTAGGCCAAAAATAGGGATGGCTCAACCTCCCATATATGCTAAATATACAACAGTAGCCGATAAAAAATTGGAAGCAAAAGGGGGAGAGGGAAAGGCAGGGAGTGTTTGAACAGAAAGAGTTTGCCACCAAAATAAAAAAGCAAGAGAAATCTGTAAGACTTGCAAAGAGACCAATCAGGATTATAATGAAAGGGTCAAGAGTCACATTAACAATTTTCTGCAACTTTATCGTTCTTTCCCCAACAGCACTTTAAGCAAAAGATTAGCTTTCCAATCTCTGTCACCACTAAACTACATTATAAACAACAAACGAAAGACTTAGAAATACCTAAAGCACACACACTTGATCAACTTCGTATTTTTTTACGAACTTTCGATAAAATAAAATGAAGGTTAACAAAAACCGAAGTCAAAACATTAAACATAACCTAAGAATACTGACTAATGGCAAAGAAGTATATTTCAAAGAATGTCACAAAACAAACCAGCTTCAAATAGCATATTGCACGATTTGAATGGCACGTAGAACGTATTTCCACAGATGACGGCATATCTGGTGCAAGATACAAGGCAAGCTCATATTGTGATAATGCCTCCTCAAACTGACCATTTCCGTAGAGTTTATTGCCTTCCAATTTTGCATCATTTGCTTGTGCTAAAGCTTTCTGTCTCAGACAAAAATAAAGGTAAAAAAGCATAAGTTCCCAGAACACAAACAGCATAAAAACCAGGTTAATCGATAAACTGGGACACTCAGCGGACCAAAAGATGTTATTTCAAGCACTTGATAACAAAATTGTGCTCTTTTACAAGAGTGACATCAGACATGACCTTAACCAAAAACAGTACGAGGAAACATATGTATCCCAGAAAGACATCAAAACCTTACACCCGAATGTCTAATACGGCTCAACAAAGAGATTCATAGCGGCTCTTATACCTTTTTTTCGTTTTCTTTTTTTCCTAGGGAAATTCATGGGGTACTTGGTAAACATAATTCTTTATTCCCCAGCATAACGAGACCATTAAAATTGAGTTGGAAAAATAAAAATTGCAATGCGCTGATAAGATAGTTAATCAACAATACACAACTAACTCATTAAAACTTTTTCTTCAACAACATTTCACTAAACCTATTCACGCTCAAATATTGAATCAGAGCCAGAGATTTCCAAGTCTCAAAGGCACAGTTTAAAATACTCTCCACCCTTTTCTCCTACACGTAATATTACGGTGATCAAAGGAAAAGCTTAAAATTTTATTAAAAAAATATTAAAAAAAGAACAAAATTGGCACCATTGTCAAAATTCTTGTATTCCATATTTATTCCACAAGCAATTCAGCATTTAATCGCGGATAAACAATCCATTAAAATCCACAAATATTGTAAATTCATCAGTCACAACAATTAGGGCAAAACACGAATTCCTAGAAAATAAGAAATAAAAAAATAGAAATCAAATTCATCTGCGAAGACAAACCTGTTTGAGCTCATCATCAGAAACAATTTGCTCTTCTTGTTGCTCCGATTTCTCAGGCAGTTGCTCCGGTACTTGTTGCTGCTGCTGATGTGATCGGTGATTGTGTCGTTCGTCGTCGTCGTCGTCGTCGCTGTCGGCGAGCTCGCCATCGCTGGCAGTCTCGAAGCCATCGTCGGCGGTTCTGTTGTCGTTGGCGGCTGATTCCGTTGTCGTTTTATTCGAAGACGACGGCTTTGGGGGATTGGGAGCTTGGTCTTCGGTGTCGTTTAGTTCTATGAGCGCCATTTTTTTTGTTGGTGTTTTAGAGAATAAATAAAAAAGGTAATATTCAATCTGGACAAGGAAGTATGGAAATTAGGAACTGAGAGAGTTTTGTGATGTTGTTTCCGGCTTGTGATTATAGTTTAGCTTTCATGTGAAAACGGAGACGATCCAAGTCTTTTCTTCTCATATATTCTTTTCGTACGTGTATATATAACATCTTTTTTTTATTTGTTTTGTTTTTTTATTTCTTTTTTTCTTGATATTTCTCTTGCTTTCAAAAATATAACATCCCTTCACGACACAAATCACAACTTAGGGACGTTTGGTATACAATAATCTTAAAAATAGAAATGAGAATCTGTAATATGACCATGTTTAATACAAAAATTATAATATTTAAATTCTTAAATAAAGGATTATCATGCGATTCACTTTCCCTCATGTTTTGGGTTAAACTCGAATTTAAGTTTCCTCTTCAACTCGAGTTCATAGTAATTTCGAACTTTACTTAATTAAAAGGAAGAAAACAATTTTCTTGAAATTTTTTTGAGAATGAGAGAAATAATATTTTTTTTTAGAACTGGTTATTAGTACTACAATTAAACTTCTATAAAGTAATACATTAATGGGCCTGTTTGTTGTGTAAAATTAGAAAGGATTAGATATGATTAAATTTTAATATTGTGTTTGATAAACATTTTTAAAAGACTAGATTGGATAAACTTTTATCCAGTCTATTATCAAATTCTCTTCGAAGGTGATGTTGGTATCCCTTACTGAAGCATAGAATAACTTTTGACTAAGGGGGTGTTTGGTATGCAGTAATTTTAAGGATGAGAATGAGAATCTGTAATATTACCATGTTTGGTACAATAATTATAATATTTAGATTCCCAAGAAAGTTATTACCATGAGATTCACTTTCCCTCATTTTAAGATAATTTGAATACCACCAAACATAATATTCAAATTCTCAGGAATCTCAAAAGCATGAGAATCTTATTATAATAATAATTATTATTATAATTATAATTAGTTACATTATATTTATTATTATAATTATAATAATTATTATATTTTATTATTATTATTATATTATTAATATTAATATTATTATTATTAATATTATATTTATTATTATTATTATTATTATATTTATTAATATTAATTTTAATATTATAATTATAAATATAATAATAATTATTATTATATTTATAATTATAATATTAAAATTAATATTAATAAATATAATTTATTAATAATAATATTATTATTATTTTCTTATTAATATTATTATTATGGATCTTCTTCCATGCGAATAATCAAACACAGTAATGTAATATTCCTGAGAATTTAAAAAAGATTCTTGTATGGAACCAAACACAGTAATGTATTATTCCTATGAATCATATTACCCTCCATCACTTTCCTGGGAATATGATTTCTATTGATTCCCACATACCAAACGCCCCCTAAAGCACATTGTGAAAAATACTAGGGACCTATTTATAAACATTTATAAAATTTAGCGTTTAATTGTAATTTTTTAAAAGTTGAAGGGCAAATTGCAATGTTTGTATGAGTAAAATATTTTTAAAAATTATAATTTTGCCCCTCAAATTTTAAAAATTCCAATTTAACTCTAAATTTTAAATCTTTTTATAAAAATGTCCTTATCCTAATAACACAGCACCAAACATGAGATTGGATTAAACTAAAATTTAATTTTATACTTTCTAATACATTCCAATCCATTACTCTAAAACTATACTGGCTTAGTTTGGTAGTGTAGTAGATTTAAAAAAACAATTGCTTTTAGTTGTGCTGAAGGAAGAAACAGCTATTACAAAAGGCAGTTGAGTGTTTGGTAAATTATAATTATAATAGTTGTGCTAGTTTCAAAATCAGTGTAATAGCATTTGGTAAATTATGAAGTTAAATTGCTGTGAATAGTTAAAAATTACGACTATATTATATTATATTATAATATAATATATAATTACAATATAATATAGTTATTATTATATTTAATATAATATAGTTATTATTGTATTTAATATAATACAAAAAACTATTATTATATAATATATTATATAATTATGATATAGAATATAATAATATCATTAAAATAATAAATGAAATAATTAAAAATAACGATTATATTATATCATACTATAATATAATATATATAATTACAATATAAAATATATTTATTATTATATTTAATATAATAAAAAAATATTATTATATAATATATTATATAATTATGATATAGAATATAATAATATTATTAAAATAGTAACTGAAATAATTAAAATAATGATTATATTATATTATACTATAATATAATATATACAATTAAAATATAATGTACGTTTATTATTATATTTAATATAATATAATAAAATTATTATTAAATAACATATTATATAACTATGATATAAAATATAATAATATTATTAAAATGATTAATATAATTGTTGACGGTCGAATTTCACCAACAAAAAACCGGCCGGGTTACCTCTTGGTTTCCCTTTGGATTATCATAATTATATTATAATTATAATATCATATGATATGATAAAATAATAATATTAGAGTTATTAATATAATTATGATATTATTTGTTACAATATTATTATTATATTATATTATATTATATTAGGAGTTTGAATTTTAGATTGTAAATTTTAAATTTCATTAGGAGTATTATGGCTATTATGAAAGTTTCATTAATTGTACTATGTTGATTCTCACACAATCTAAAAGTTAAAATTGTCTTTAGGCTGCTTCTGATTTTGACTGTAGATTCTTAAAAAATTCTTCAAAAAGCACTTTTGAGGAGATTTATCAAACATTAAAATCAGCTTATGCTACTAGCAGAAGCTGATTATGAGAGGAAAAAGCAATACCAAACTAAGCAACTATCTTATCCTGCACACCGAACATGCCTAAAAGACCATAAAAATTTATTCATTAATTAAGATATTATTTAATCAATAAATTAATAATTTCCGAATTTATACATTTATTAATAAAAATTAATTTATCAAGATATTTTTTCTAAATCATTCAATTTAATATTGTGTATTGTGATTAGACAAATATTACTTAATTACTGAATTACAAATTATCATTATATTGTATGTATTTGATTAACCAAAACAAGTTTATGAATATAATTAGTCTTATTAAAAAGAAGTTATGAATCTATCCATTTTTGTAACAGACTAAAATTACATTCGATGTATACTTAATTAAGATACTTCAAGAACATTAAGTCCAGAACAAAAACATCAATCTATTTAAGTAGTGAAAAGAACATACACTATCACAAACGGTAAAACTATTTAAACACAATGGCTTATCATCTAAAAGGTGCAAAGAAATTGTAACATCCGTTTTTGGCAATTTATGGGATAATTAAAGTCCAACTAAGTAAATTACTGAAAGCGGTAAATAAATAGGTATAAGAAGTTAATATCGCAGTTTGGTAATAACTTATATTCGTGGAGCCACACAAAAAAAATGAACAATCCACTAAGTCTTAAAGATTACAAACACCAATCGGATTTATACACTCAAAGACTCTCTCCTTAATGTTGTCGTCGTTGTGACGAATCTCCTTAATCGTCATGTCCAACCAGCAACACTCATCTTCAAACAACACGACGAACTCCCTTCGACTGACAATGCGCTTTGCGCTTGTTGCGGGACTTAACCCAACACCTTACGGCACAGACTGACGATAGCTATGCACCACTTGTGTCCGTGTTTCTGAAGGCACCCCTCTCTTTCAAGATGATTCGCGGCATGTCAAGCCATGGTAAGGTTCTTCGCTTTGCATCGAATTAAACCACATGCTCTACCTTTTGTGTGGGTATCTAATCCATTCGCTCCCCTAACTTTTGTCTCTCAGTGTCAGTGTTGGCCCAGAGCAGAGTGCTTCAGACGTAAAGTTACATGTAATAGAGAAGACATCACATTGCATTGTTAGGAGTTAATTTCTCAATGATGAAAGCTATCCAGAGAAACCATTCCTTTGCTGTCCCATTCATTATATGGTGACTTCGGGTTCTTATCTGGACCTTTAAAGAAAAAGAAAAAGAAAAAAAAAATCTAAACGTAACCTTGATAAGGATGCGTCTTAATGGGTGTCCCTTTCAAAGAGTTGTAAATTGTAAGTTTGCCGCTTGCAACTGTTTAATTTCCAGGGGCGGAGACAAGGGTGGACAGCCGCCTTACTTGAACTTTTTTTTCCTTTTTTTTTAATATTTTTTTATTTGTCCCACCTTATATATTAATTGATGCTCCCAAGTTTTAATATGCATGCTTCCATTATTTTTCGAATAATCTTGATAAATACATCTTAAAAATACATGGGTCAAAATTTTTATCTTTTACTCTTGATTCATAGTCTTTTTAGTTAAATAATTACACTAATAAAAAAATATTTATTAAGAGTAAGGGATAAAGGTCCAGACTCGTGTACTCTTAAGGATAAATTTGCAAGGTCCGTTTAGTTTATTGATTCGAATTGAGATATGACTTTATGTGAATTTTTTACTATAGCAACAAAATTAAATATGATTGTTTCTCAAAGCTTTTTACTGTAATAAAACTCAAATTCTAAACTCGAATCGGTGAAATAAACAAACTCATTTTTTTCTTATTTTTCCCAATATCCACAAATTTACTCAATATATACACGAGTTTACAATCATTACATTTCTATTACAGTTACCCATCAAAGGTGGACATTTTTATTATATTTACTTATTAAATATAAAAATTTAATGACATGACGTGATAAAAATTTAATTTCGTCATAAATTTTTTTATATTTGTAGATTATTTAAATTCCCACACATCTTTACTGTGGCTGTGGATTTGAGTATTTTTTTTTCCCCGTTCCTATACTTATAACAAATGCTTGTTCATTCAATTAACAGGACTCGTGGTCAGCTCTTGTTTTTGGGGCAGCTTTGTTGTCCTTTGTCTCCTTTGTTTTGGGAACGTAAGCTTATTTACCAAATAATAATAATAATAATTATTATTATTATTATTATTATAGGACTTATGGGAAGTACCATGTTTCAAACTATAGAATCCATGTCTCAAGGATTTATGGCAAATGATCACATTGATTTACTTTTCTATTTTCTTGCAAGATAAATGATGTAATTCAGGAAAAAAGGAATGTAAAAGAGATGAATCAGACATAGGAATGTAAAAGGATTTTGTGACAATTTTTATCAAGAGTAACATATCAACTTATCTATCTGTTTATAATTTATTTTCCTTGCATCATAAACATAACATATCAACTTATCTATCTGTCTATAATTTATTTTCCTTGCATCATAAACATAGTATAATGTCCGTCTCTAATAAATGACAGATTCTTGGAGTATCTCACAGAGCCCTCATGACATAAATTATAATATACAGAAATAACTTTTACCCCAATTGACATAATAAGCAAATTCAACACTGGAAATTTGGAGTAAACTTTCCTTTTCTTTTAGCACCAGTGGAATAGATTAACGTCAATACGAAGCATCTGTAATGGCACCATCGCTTGCAACCTCCTTGATGATATTTCTTGTTGAAGGCAAACCAGCAACCGGGTCAGATTCGATGCCGCACTCGTTTGTTCCTCTTCTAATCTTGAAGTAACCGTCCTGCCATTAAGAATGACAAAATCTGATAATGTACACATACCGATACGTGCAATTACTAAAAGGAGGGAATTTAAACAGACACATACATCACCCCAGCTTCTGTTCCACTGATTTGCAAGAAGCTGCAATAGAGAACAGAGAATCAGCATATAAACTCACATAAAACCCGTTTCGTTCATAAGTTTGAACATAAAGTTTGCAAAAAAAAAAAAAAAAAATTCAAATTTTTTGTGAGAGAACACTGTAACAAAAAGGTTGGAACTGTAGTTGAAACCCATGAAACAAACAGGATGTTAATTTTTCTGCTTAAAAACTCGAAAGCAAGAGTAAGGCGTATCAAGTACCCAATAGTCCTCCCCAGCATCACTTGTTCCCCATCCAATTAGCTTCACAGCATGACCTCCCATAATCCCCCCTGTTATGTGTTTGTAGACTCCAGATTTATAGTGAGCGAAATCCTGCAAAATGTGTATAGAAAAACTATAAGCAACAGAGCGACCATATTCTCTTAAAAAAGCCAGGTCCATTTTCTTATTCAATTAAACTTCTTTGTTCAACAATCCTGTAATAAAAAGCATGAAAGCGGATGTTACCTCATAAACAGTGAAGTCGACCTCAACTGGTCCATTCTTATAAATTTCAACCATAATACTGTGGGGGTCGGAGTCAATTGTATATGCATTTACACTATAACGCTTTGAATCGCTCCATAACTGGTTCCCGTCGACACACTTTCTAACACATCTTGGAGTTGGAAACGCGGGCTCACAACCAGGATGAGAACAACCAATATTGTCAAAATATGGGTCACACTGCAAGATGTAAAATTTGAGCATATACCAAAGTGTGAGAACAGCTAAGAAAAAAAGGAAGGGGGAAAAACAATAAAACATCAGGCAATAATTAAAAGGAATGGTCCTAAAATAAAAAAGTGCTCTCTAATGATACTAAACCAACTGTAAAAGAATAGAAAATCCGGACCTTCAAGTTTCAAATTTATGATAATAGCATGATGACTATCTAATTCCTTTCTAAAATTATAAAAATAAAAAATCCTCCCTCTAAAGGAAACTAAAAAGAAAAAAGAAAAAAAAAAAAAGGCTTTACCTCTTCAGTCACAACGCCAGAACGGGCAAGATATTCCCACGCCTCTAGCGGATAGCCCCCATCACAACCCTCTCCGCAGAAAAAGCCACAGCAAGCTAAGAGATCGTTTACAGACAGAGATATGTTCTAGAACAAAACAAATAGCAGATAAATTACACAGCTTGAAACCAAAAAGAAAAAGAAAAAGTCGTGTTTCCATCCAATAAACAGCAGTTACCAAGCCGAAATGGATGCAAAAGCGATCTGACAGCGATTCAACAGCACCAAAAGCCCAACAAGAACCACAGTGCCCCTATAAATCCAAAACCTTTAGTGTTACTTATCGGACCTGGATTTCTCAATAAAAAAGAAGGAAAAAAAACCTTCGTAATAGAAATGGAAATAAGGTTTACCTGATCTTCAGTGACAAAATTGATCCAGCATTTGACATGAAAAAGAAAAAAGGAAATAGTCAGCCCTTTCCTTTTTCCACAATATATATATATATATATATATATATATAAATGTATATTGGATCAAAACATATGAAGAATAAGAAGTAAGTAACCTAGAATTCTCCCAATTGTGCTACACTGAGGCCAAGCAGTTCTTGCATCAAACTCCTTTGGCAACTTCAAGGATTTTGGATAAGTCTTTACTGGAGCACTCCTCAAATCTTGCTTAGGTCTCGGTTTGACTCCGAGCATACGCCTAAATTCGGCAACCTAAGAACCATCAAGGAAACAGTAATTGTTAAAACAAAACACACATCGATTTATTAAAGACAAACAAGAGGAAGAGAGAAAACCAATTGGACGACTCACAGTCGAATTCGAGAATCTAGGATTCATGGCGGCTTCCCATCCAGCCTCAGGGTTCTCATTTACATGTTTAACGATTGACTCCTGAATAGGAAAAAAAAAAAAAAATTGTTATGCATTATTGTCTGCATATGTTAATAATTACCATGAACCAAATTTAACAAACTACAAACACACAACCTATATATATATATATATATATATACACACACACACACACACACACGTATATATGTAAGTATAATATATATGTATTTATAAGGGACATTTTCATAAGCAAAATGGAAAATACCTGCAGGATATGAGAGTTAAGCTTGAGGATGCTTAGTGCTTTCACTTAAATAACCTGCTGAATACCAAAAAAAAAAAAAAAAGGTTCAACTTCAAACAATGGTTTCAGACAATTAAAGCGAGCATAAAATAAAATAAAATAAATCTAATAAAACATATGCAAATTCAAATAGATAAGAAAACTGAAATTTGAGGGCATATTAATTATTATTTGGTAGATCATAGCACAAATATATCAGTTCTTGTGTACTTCTAGTATGCTTCTACATGTACGTATATCAACTCCCCTTTAAGCATGCTTAAAAAAAAAATTATTTCCAAATTTATAGTATAAAAAAAAAAAACCCTTACTTCGCTTTGAGTACATAACGAATAATCTATTCAAAAAAAACTTTTTATTTCCAAAATTCATCACAATCCAGAGGATTAACCAGCTCAACAGAAAGTATAAAAAATAAAAATAAATAAAAAACAAAATTGAGGGATTAGAAGAAAGCTGGTCAACCTTATTTTTTTTAATTTTTTTGCATCATAATTTTCCCAGAATCAAAACGACGCAGCAAAAAACAGTACTAAATATGCAAAAAGAGATCGATCGAACGCAAAAAATAAGGAAATACTGAAACGTAAAAAAAAAAAACAAAAAACAAATTAAAGGACGAGATTTGGAGGAGACGAACCTGTGAGTGACAGATGGAGATGGCCACAATAAGTAAGAGAGGAATCGCCAAAAACCGGGGCTGTGCCGTCGTCGTCGCCATTTTTCTTGCTTTGATGACGGTTTTGGAAAATCTGGAATTCTTGAGTCTAATAAATGGAGTGCAGTAGCTTTATTAACAGAGAGAATGTATTTTGCACATTTACCCCCTAATTTGTAGGATTTTGATAAATTATCCCTCAAATTTTTAATTTTGATAATTTATGCGTTAAACTTATAAAATTATTACAATATGCCACATTTTAATAATTAGTTTTGTTAAATTAGTGATAAAAAGTATGTTTATTGAAAATTTTCTATATTTAAATTTAAATTTTGGAATAAATATCTATATTTTTTAACTCTTATAATTCATTAAATCTGATAAAAGAATCAGAGTAAAATTGATAAGGTGGTATTATTTGACAAGTTGAGGGGCAAACTGAAAAAATAAAAGGTTAAAGCGTAATTTTCCAGAATCCTATAAGTTTAGGGGTAAATGTACAAGATATCCTTTAATTTAAGAGATAAAAGGAAAAAGAGGGACTTGCGGGTGTGGGACCAGGTACGTAACGTTTGTTGGTTTGCGTCTTGGGATTTGTGATGTGACCAATAACAGGGGAATGGAGAAGAATTTGGCCCTTTTTTCTTTTAAATAGAATTTGCAGAGATATTTTTGACAGAGAAAGAGATGGAAGATATTTTTCATGCCTTTAGAATTGGTTTGAATATAATTTTATTTTTAATAAAAAATAAAAATAAGATTATTTTAATAATTATTTTGAGATTGATTCTGAAATTGTATTTGGTTAATTTTTTAAGAGATTGTTTTAAGTATAATAAAAAAATAAATCATATTTATTAATTAATATATTATAATATTGTTGATAAGTATTAAAAATGAAAACAGAAAAGTGAAAATAACTTTCAACTGTTTTTTAATTCTTTCACAAAAATTATTCTCACTGTTTTCGTTTTCATTTTCGTTTTTAAAACATTTACTAAACAAACGTAGTTTTGTTTTATTTTTTATTTTTTATTTCTCAAAATACGTGAAAAGTGTTTTTAAAAACGATTTCAAACACGCATTTTATTTAGCATTTAATTTTATCTTGACTGATTTTTTACATAGCCATTTTTTTAATGACATAAACTTTATTATGAAAAGATGAAATGAGTGTTCTTTTTTTTTATATATAAGAATTGATATTTTTCGATACGTCAACATACTGATATGTTAGGTTTTATGTCTATTGGATCTATAAAAAAAAATCACGTAAAAGTCAAAAAATATGTAGATTCAACGATTAGAAAAAACTGGCTACCGATATGCCAATCATACTATAGAATCTCTTAAATAGGGAATTAATAGTTTAATTTATTGAGATTTAGGAAAAATTTAGGAATTGTTTCTTTACCTTTTCTTTCTTGAATTTGAGATGGCGATTTGAACTCTACACTCTATGCTAAAATCAAGTGCCTTAAGTATTATTATGAACTCTACACTCTATGCTAAAATCAAGTGCCTTAAGTATTATTAGACTATACCTGTAAACACTTCTTTATCCAATTTAAGTTCTTTAAAATTCAAAAATAATTCAAAAAATTGCATCATAAAGCATATTTCATACCTATATTTAGTATATTCTTATTTTACTTTTCACATAGATATTTTTATTTCTGTCACGCCCCGGGACAGGGGTCGGTGACTTGGAGGCTCGATTAGGGGTTAAACGCGATTGAGAATAAAATATTAAGGAAATTTCCAAACGAGCCCCACTATTGTGCAGAAAATAAATTACAGGATCTATCCACAGGATCTTCAGTATCGTACATACATGACACCTAAATAACATTACAGACATCAACCACAGTCTAGAAATCCAAATATCAGAGTTTACAGAACTTACAAATTCTTACATTCGTACACAGGGAGGATGAACACAATCCTCACCAACTTCATGTGGTAGCAACTCAGCTACTCCACACTGCTTCTAGAATCGCCTGGGAAAGGTTTAACATTTATAAAATAATAAAACGTGAGCGAAAAACCCAGTAAGATATATTTTGAAATAACTTTATAAATAAGTAAATAAATGAGTAAGCAAGTAAATAAATAAATAAGACATTCAGTTCCAACACAACAGCCGGAACCTCACATCTTTTTTCTTAAAGGAAATATAACTGAAAATCTTCGTATTACAAGCATCAGCAAGTAATTTATATTATGATAAATTACTTACACAACCAAGTGCACAAGCCATATCACCCCGGGCCGAGTTTCGGGTCCTGTCCCTAAGGATGCACTCTCCATATCCTATCTAGGCCATCAGTTAGTTTACCGATTTGCACGATCTCTTATCTTAAGAAATCATTCATTAAACTTTGTGAAACAGTTCATTATACTCCCCAGAATCTACAATAAGCCATGGGGGTTAAAATGTTTTTCTTTCGCAAACATGCCTTATCTTTAAAAACATTTACAATGCCAAAATCTTTTTGAAAACTGGCTCACAAAGGAAATTGTAAGAAATCCTACCTCACAAGTACTAAACTTGGCTAGTGTTACTCTATTCCGGCTTTCGTTTCCTCAAGCCCCTCAATCCGAGTCCTCAGCTAGCACTGATACAAAACCACACTTTAGGATCCAATTCTCAATCCTAAAGTAATTTCAAACTCAATTATACCATTTGATTGCCTATTAGTGTGCCATAATTCAATTAACGCTTTCACAAACCATTTCATGTTTCAAATCATCATTCAAAGGGTTTTCAATCTCAAAACGTGGATTAAAGATGCTAATCCATTCACTCTAGGTCGCCAAATGAAGCTAATTTGGGTTCTCCTAAAAAATCGAGGTCAAAATAGGGTTTTTCAACAAAACATGGTCAAACTCAATGTACATCGGTCGACTGTTGACAGAGCAGTGCAACACCACCGGTCGACCGGTGGTGTGCACTTCGGTTGACCGCACAGGTCGACCTGATGCAGTGCAGATCGGCCGACCGCACAGGTCGACCGGTGGAATCAGGACAGGATGGCCAGAAAGGCCGATCTGAAGAAAATCAGCACAAACCTGCAAATCCAAGTCCCAAATCAAAATATCTCAAAGGAAAACCACTAGATTCGGGTTCTAGGTACTGAATCAAGTCTAAAGAACCCAAGATCTCTAATTTTTGCCATAGTTTTACTCAAAATCCATCAAAATCTATTTCGAACCAAAAATAAGTTTTTAAATCTGAAAATCCAAGTTTCAAGAGAGGTTTTTCAGAAATCTTACCTCGAATCATTCTCTTGGCATTGAAAACTTCTTGAAATCCTTCTTTGGTTCAAGATTTTGTTGTTTGAATAAAACGGGAGAGAGAGAGAAAGTGTGTGTGTGTGTGTGAGAGAGAGAACGAGAGAGAATGAGAGACAATGGGGGAGAGAGAGAGAGAACGCACGGGAAGGAAGGAAAGGAAAGAAAAGGAAATGAAGAAAAAGAAAAATGAAAAGAAAAGAAAAATGGACAGGTGTCAAACATTTAAAATGACAGTCTAGAAATGTGCACATACACACTTCTGGATAAAAATGTAAATACTGAGGATATTTAAATTCATTAGAATTATTTAAATTACTCGTCAGATACATTTAATAAATGATAATCAATTAATTAAATCAGATTAGGCACACTAATAAATCAAAATTACCTCAATTAATCCCATTTAATTTTTCAGGGTGTTACAATTTCCAATTTTATCCTTTTTCAGATCTAAAATTTAATCTTAAATACCAAACCCTAATCTAACATTATCTTCACCTCTGCTAAGGATCTCTCTCTCTCTCTCTCTCTCTCTCTCTCTCTCTCTCTCTCTCTCTCTCTCTCCAGGATGACAGTGTTGGAGATCGCCATGATCTTCAGTTACTCATGACCTTGTCTCCACTGAAGTTGTCGCGAGTTTTTTTGGTAATGTTTTTCTCCTCAAGGAAAATGGATGCTACATTTTTAAGATCGAGTAGCAAAGCGTTATAGTGGTAATAGTTCATGAGAAATTTTGTAATTAATTCATTTTTTTATTGCATCTTTTAACATTTAATTTTTATATATTTCCAAATATATTTTATTTAAATATTTTTTTAATAGTTATTTAAAATGTTATTTTTTTTCTAATTACCCTGTAAATTAATTTATTTTTAAATATGTCCCTACATAAACATCTTTACTCTTTAATCCTCATAAATTCAAGTTCAATTGCGAAACATTTCGCACAAATTTTTTCTTAGATTTTTTTTTTTGTCTTTTTTTTCCCTATCTTTTGCTTCGATTTTTTTTCTACCTGTTTTTCTATCTTTTGCTTCGTATTTTTTTCTCACTTTTTTTTTTTATTTTTTTATTTTTTCTTAATAATTTGTAGCTATTATTTTAAATGAGTTATGCGTAGGGAGCGTGACGAGTCACTTATAATTAACATAATATAATATTAGTGGGGATTGATCCCTAGGATGCTAGAGTGCTCTTTTGAATTGTATTTTTTTTTGCTTCTTCAGAATCTCACACCTGGGAATTGTGTATTCCTTACTCAACCTTTTTTAATTATTTTTTGCTTAGGTGGTTGACAAATTATTCAACAATGCTATTAGCCTCCCAACCGCCCCCCCCCCCCGCAAAGGAGGAAAAACACATAGGGAGAAAGAAAGAGAAAGTTGTTGACGCTTATTATTATAAGAGTTGTTTTTAATAGGATTAGAAGAATAAACTATTAGTAATGATTTGTTTTCGGCCATTAGATTTGTAATAAAAATTATTTATGCAGCATATTTTTAATTTTAACATTAATTTTAATTAAATTTAACCGTTAGAAACTAAATTTACTGACAAGAAGTCCTATAAAATAAAGTCTCATTATTATATTCACAAATAAAGCTTACGAGATAAGATAAGACTTGGTTGCTAGCTCATATTATTTATACTAGGGATATTTATATTTTTATACCATGTGTTTTATGTTTATTCAAAATGTATACTTTCAGTTTTAATCTCATTAAATACATACTTTATAATTAAATTTAATATACGAATCTATACCTTATTTCGGTCATAATTGATTTTAATCTGTACAATGACCAAATTATCCTAAAAAGGGAGAAAAAAATTAAAACTTGCCAATATTACAAATAATAAAAATTTAAAACACAAAAAAATCTATTTTAATGATATTTTATATATTTTTAAGGTCAAAACCGTAAGTTTAAGGTATTTTAAATTTTTTCTTTTCTTATTTTTTTTATTTAAGGGAATTTTAAGTATTTCAAAGGTTAAAATAAGGATTGGCTGTGGAAAGGTATAAATTTGACTAAAAAACTAAAAGTATAATTTTTGAATAAATCTAAAATATAAGGTATAAAAAAGTAAGTATCCCATTATAATAATTGCTTTATTTATTCATCATGTGAAAAACCTGGGGACTAGCTGGTTAGAATATATATATATATATATATATATATATGTGTGTGTGTGTGTGTGTGTGTAAAAAATGTATATTTTACAATTGTATAATACAAATTAGGTAGCTATTGTCAAAAGGATGCATAATTAATATATGAAATAGTTATAGTTTAATGAACATTGCTTATTTCAGTCGTTCGTTTTAAAGATTGACTAAGATCCACATTATCTGGTGTTCATTATATTGAGATTGTAAGCAACGTTTAGGATGACATTCTTATTATTACCATATTCATTTCTTTCATGACATTCTTGGGCACCATTGCCGTTCTCATTTATGCTCTTCTTTTTCAAGTTTTCAAATTTCACCCTTCAATTCCATTTAGATAAGATAATTGCCTTTAGCCGCCTTTAAAAAGTTATCGCAGTAAGTGTTTTACTTAATGATATGCATAGACAAAAATTCCCCAAGTTCTTTGAATCATGCCTATTTTTCTCACTCTTCTCAACTTTCCCGGTGCCATCCTCGCCGCAGCCCTTGCTCTGGCGGCTGTGATTTTTTTCTTCTTCTTTTTATGCATAATATATTTAATCTAAAAATAATATAATTAACGGTATAGGTAATAGGGTCGGCGACCTGCAAACATATCTCATCCATGCCCCATAGACCGTGACAAGTCATACATTTAATCTGTTTATAACTTGTAATCCATTAAACTGAATTTACGCCTTTAAAATTTCCATTCCTGATTTTGAGTGGAGCAACATATCATATTTCTATCCAACTCTCCCACGATAATGTAGCACCTTGTACCACTAAATTTGTTGTGGTGCAGCATTTTGCAGTTCAAATATGTTTTCGAGCCATGCAATCACAGCGGCTTACACATTATTCCCATAACTAATTAGAAGGACAAGGGTTCTCAAAATTGATATTCTACTTGTCAACTATATTATACTACCTGAACGATACTAACTCGACTCCTATCAGTCATAAACGTCTAGAAAAGATGAAGAATCGGCAACCTATTGTGGTATCAGAGTAGATGGTCATTTTTTTTTTTATTTTTTTTTAGTTTTTGAGAACCACGGTGACCATTCATGTGGTATCAGAGTAGAAAGTCCTTTTTATTTTATTTTGTTTCACTTTTTGAGAACCATGGTGTTCGAGACTTTGCCCTGACTAATTCACGCTATCCACGCAAAGTACCTCCTTTACATGAAAATCTTGGGCCTTTGGCCACAGGTGTGGTCTCAAGGGATTGATAGCACTCAATGGGAATCGAACCTAAAACCTAATGCCGCTCGAGGCACTCAGTTCAAATAATTTACCACTGACTCAACCCCTTAGGGTTAGATGGTCCTGGTTTTGAACCTCTGTAATTGCGCATTTTGTAATTTTGCATACGTTTGAGGCTTAGTTTAATTCTTGTACTGGTCTGGAAGAGTGACTTACCGGCCCCGGCAAATAATCTGCTTCGTCGACCAGGGAATCGAATATAGTATTGTCCTCTGACTTTGTTCTAGTCAATTATTTTCCTCACTTTATATATATATTTTTTCTTTCTTTAATTGCTCCCAAAAGAGAGATGCATCAAACAAGAAATGCAAAAGGACAATGCAAGGTACACAATTTTATCAAGTACCAAACAGATCAGCCTCTCTGCTTATTGGTAATTTAATTGCTTTGTATCACAAACATATTCACATATCCATTGTTTTACAGATGACAGAGACGAACACTTATCACAATCAATTGTTATCATACGGGGTTCCTTCCATTCCATCACCCTATGATATCAACATAAAATGACTATAATCTCAAATGACATACTATTGTATTCACCAGTGGAAACATGGAGTAAGCTTTTCTTTCGTTTTCTATTACCAGTGTGAAAATCTAACGTCAATATGAAGTATGTGCAACGGCATCGGCACATGCAACCTCTCTTACAAGATTTCTTTTTGAAGGCATACCTGCTACCGCATCTTTTTCGATGCCGCACTCGTTTGTTCCTCTTCTGATTTTGAAGTAACCATCCTGCAATTCAAAATGGAGGATATTAGAACATACGAACCCTCATATGGTTACTAAAGCAAGACTGCGAGACAAAATATTAACAGAAACATACGTCACCCCAGCTTCTATTCCATTGATTTGCAACAAGCTGCAATAAAGAGAACACAAAATCAACACACAGCCCCACAGAATTGTTGTGCTTAAAAAAATTGAAAGCGAGGGTTGGAGCGTTTCAAATACCCAGTAGTCCTCCCCAGTATCAGACGTTCCCCATCCAATTAGCTTAACAGCATGACCCCCCATTACACTCCCGGTTATGTGTTTGTAAACTCCTGATTTATAGTGAGCAAAATCCTGAAAAATGCGTATAGAAAACAATAAGAATTGGAACAAATATGTTATCTTAATTAATCATTTGCTTAATTAAACATCCTTGTGCAAGAACCATGTTAGCAAATGTATGAACAAAAGTCATTACCTCGTAAACAGTGAAGTCGACTTCAACTGGCCCGTTCTTATAAACTTCAGCCATAATACTATGGGGGTCAGAGCTAATTTTATATGCATTTACACTATAATGCTTTGACTGCCTCCAGAGATTATTTTTGTTAACACACTTTCTGTGACATCTAGGAGTTGGATATGCAGGCTCACAACCAGGATGAGAACAACCAGTATTGTCGAAATACGGATCACACTACAAGATGTAAAATTTAAGCTTCTTAAAGCATAACAATCGTAAAAAAGAATAGAAGTGAATCAAAAAGTGATATATTGTTTGCACAACAACAGGCAAGAATTAAACGGAATCATCCTTCTAATAAATAACAGAACACTTTAACACGAAACTAAACTAAACCAACTGCGAAAGAAAACAAGATTATCACAACCTACAATGTTGCCAGGTTAAGTTGATAGGAAATTTAGGAATAAGTATCCCACTAAGATAGGATAACTCCCATCATTTTCTGGTATTTTCTAAAATGAAAAGGTGACAACGAAGGTGAACGTAACCCCCATCCTCCCTCCTAGTCAAAAAGAAAAAGATAGAAGAAGATTGTTTTTTTTTTCCTTTCATTTTATGCTCTGCATCTTGAGGTTATAAAACAATCATATCTTAAATTTTGGATTGTAACACCTATATTTGTTAAATCCTTATCTTTTTTTTGGTCAAAGGTTGATTTTGACTATGAGAAAGGCCTAAATGTCCTTCGCACTTTAGGAATTTTTTATTTTTCATTTTTCTGTTTTTGCTTATTCTAATTTTTTGACATTGGAGTTCATTTAGGTTTTCTTTGTGGTCAAAATGGACCATTAACTGGAGGCACGCGGTTCAAAATACAAAGTATGATTTTTTAGTAACCACAGAAAGCAGGTATAAACACAAGAAAAGGAAAAAAAAAATCAAAGAAAAAACAGAGAGGAAACGAAAAGGTCTCACCTCTTCAGTCACCACACCGTGATGATGCAAATATCTCCAAGCAAAAAGCGGAGTCCCCCCATCACAACCAGCTCCACACAGAAAGCCACAACAAGCCAGGACATCATTGACAGACAAAGATATGTTCTGGGACAAAACAAATAGCAAACATATTTCATAGTTCACAAGGGAAAAGTCAAAAAGAGAAATGATCATGTTTTCCATCCATCGAATTCAAGTTACCGTGTTAAAATGGATGCAAAAACGATCAGACAATGATTCAACAGCACCAAAAGCCCAGCAAGAACCACAGTGGCCCTATAGAAACAAAACTTTCAATGTTACTTTTAAAGACCTTATTTGCTCCAAAAGAAATTGCAGTTAGAGAAATAGATATCAGAGTTACCTGATCTTTATTGACAAAAGTGATCCAGCATTTGACGTACACAAAAATAGAAAAAATTAGCACTTTATTTCTCACACAAAAGGAATCCTATTAGAAAACAAGATATCGATAATAAGACGTAAATGAATAACCTAGAATTCTCTTGATGGTGCTACATTGTGGCCAGGCAGTTCTTGCGTCGAACTTATCTGGCAACTTCAAGGATTTGGGATGAGTTATAACAGGAGTACTCTCCAATTCGTGCTTAGGTGTTTCCTTGACTCCAAGAAGACGCCTGAATTCACCAGCCTTATATGAAGAGAAGAATAAGGGCATTGTAGCAAGTATTTCAACCGAAAAAGGAAAAAAAGAAAACAAAATTACATTGCTTTGTGTAAGAGAAACAATAGGAGAGATAAACCAAGGTGAAGACTCACTGTGAAATTAGAAAATCGAGGATTCATCTCTGCTCTCCATCCAGCCTCAGGATTCTCATTTACACGTTTAACAATTGACTCCTAAGAAAAAATAAAATAAAAATAAAGAAAAAAAACTTATGTTAATAAAATAGGGCTGGTATCGTTTGCAGGTTTGAATAGAAATTCAATTTTTTTTTTTTTTTTTTGGTGCGAAAATACTGTAAAAAAATGGATTGAACAATGATTCAAACTGCGAACTAAACGGGGGCTAGTATCGTTTGTAGGATTGAATAGAAATTCATCTTTTTTCTTTGTGCGAAAATACTGTAAAAAAACGGGTTGAACAATGATTCAAACTGCAAACTAAACGGGGGCTAGTATCGTTTGTAGGTTTGAATAGAAATTCTTTTTTTTTTCTTTGCGCGAAAATACTGTAAAAAGAAAAACGGTTTGAACAATGATTCAAACTGCGAACCAAACGGGGGCTACTACATACATATACTAACACAAAACACCAATTTGGCAAAAGGGAAAAAGGGACCATCTCATGAAAAAAAAAAAAAAAAAAAAAGGAAAAAAAACCTGCAGGATCGGAGAATTAAGCTTGAGATTGCTTAGTGGTTGCAATGCAATTACCCGCTGATAATACCAAAAAAGAAAAAAAAACCAAAGTCAAACAATGATTTCAAACACTAAGACGAAAAAAAAATCTAGTCAAACACTGCAAACAATAAATGATGAAATTGAATTTTGAGCATATTAATTGGTCGACCACAAGACATGGATAAGGTTATTTAGACTTATATATATATACACATATCTATACATATATATATATATATATGTCTGTATGTATGCATATCATGTTACTGCATATTACAAATATATTATAAGATTTTGTATTTTCAATTAATAATCCAAGAGGAGGAGAACACCTGATTTAAAGCTTAGGCTAAATCAAGTTTACTTTTTTTTTTTTTTTTCCCTATTCTTTGAATCTGGTAATAAAGGAGCCGTTGCAATGAAATGAGACGACAAAATAAGCGAATTCAGAGGACGGATTTTGAGAAGACGAACCTGTAGGTGACAGATGGAGATGACCAAAATAAGCGAAAGAGAAATCGCCAAAATATTCTTCTGTGTTGTCGCCATTTTTCTTTTTCCTTCCTCCTCCGATGGTTTTTGATAATTTGGACTCCAAATTTGAAGGTTGATGTTTTGGTGAATTTTTTTTTTTTTTTTTTGGTGTTTTGATTTGATGATTGGAGCTGAGTAGAGTAAACCAGAGATATTACTCAAATAATAAGAAAGAAAAAGGGACCACCTGAGATCCTAATGTTGGCTTGGGGTCTACGTCTTTGAGAGATTTTTTTAAAAAATATATATTTTTTCCTTTCTAAGTCTGCTTTTCTATCTAATTTATAGTAGGGTATGAAAAAGATTAGAATGGTAGGGCCCAATTTTCCTTTTTCTCTTTTTGATTTTTAACTGTCAAATTATATTTAAATCGTAACTTAGAAATAAAAAGTATGGACTATCCTCAGAAAATGCTTTTAAACCCAAAAAAAAAAATGAAAAATTTTATATTGGTACCATATGTTTTAATAAAATTATCTTTTAATATCATATGTTTTTAATAATTTTAAATTAATACCTTAACATTTTAAAAAATTATTTTTAATACTTTAAGGTTATTTTTTAGAATGTAAAATATCAAAATTATCATTCTCATTCTCATTAATTAACTAATAAAACTAATAATAAATTTAGAAAAATTCTGAATTTTTTTAAACATTTAAAAATTAAAAATAAAAATAATGCTTTAAATTTAAAATAATTGTTTCAAAATTTTCTCTAAATTTATTAGTTTTTGGTAAAGTAATGAGAATGGTAAATTTGACATTTTACATCTTAGAAAATGACCTCAATATACTAAAAATAATTTTCTAAAACGTTAAAGTATCAATTTAAAATTATTAAAAATACAAAGTATTAAATTACAATTACGCTATAATACATGATACCAATATGAAATTTTCTCAAAAAAAAACTATAATAGATATTCATCAAACTTACTTCTTTCTAAAGCCGCGCACCACTCTACCCCATGTCATTTTTGATCCTATGTTATCTGATCTAGTAATAGTTCAATATTTTTTTTCCATACTGCAAGATAAGATTTTTCAAAGATATTTTATGAAAGCGAGATGACATGGGAAGATCTTTTCGAAAAGGTTATGAACGAAATAAAAGAAAAAATAAATACAGAATTATAATAGAAATGCAAATATAATCCATGATTATGATTAAGTTTATTGTAAGGGTACATTTGGTTGAGTGGAAAGGAAATGAATAAAATGAAATAAAATTCAAGTATGATATTTGATTTGATTTATAAGAAATAAATTGTCATTCACAAGGAATGATTATTTCACCCATTTTAAGTGAATCATCATTCCTTTATCACATAGGAAGAATAGCCATTTCAAATTTTTTCTTCATTTTTTTCCATAATTACTGTTTAATATTATAATATAATATATAATTATAATATATTATATAGTTGTTATATCTTATAATATGTAATATAATATAATATATAATAAAAATATTATAATATAATATAGTTATAATAATATAATAAGATAATAATATGATATAAAATAATATAATTTATAATATAGTTGTAAATTACAATATATTTATTTAATATATAATAATAATATATTATATATTGTAACGTAATTATATCTTATAATATAATATTTACAATAATATGATATAATATAATATAATTGTAATATTGCAACAAATTATATCATGATTATATTATATTCTAATATTATTATTTTATTAAATAATATGATATTATTAATTATATTATATTGTATTGATATAATATTAATTATATTAATTATATTAATATAATTATGTTTATTATATTAATAATAATATAATAATAAATATAATTAAATATAATTATAATGTTATAATTATAATATTATTATC